ACACAGACCTGAGCACCATATTCATGGTTTGTACATGCAGTCAATACTGACATGAAAAATAACCAGTCTTATCTCTTTAACCAGTGGTCTGTCAGTCAGCCTACAACAGTCAGACTCATTCATGTGATTCATTTGCTTTATATTCATCACTGTTTCAGGGTCTTGAAGAGAACATTGTCACCTTTGTGAAGAAGGAGCTGAGGAGCTTCCTGGAGGTTCTTCATCTCAGCTCAGAGGGTCGGAGGGAGGACGAGGAGGTGCTGGATGATGAAGACCAAGAGCAGATGAGGAGCAGCAGGGAGGCTTTTCTGGAGATCACACTGCACTTCCTGCGGAGAATGAAGCAGGAGGAGCTGGCCGACTCTTTATACAACAGTAAGTAAGAAAAGTAGATAGTAATAAAATCACAGTTTTAGTAATATCTACACAGTGATATAATTTGTTGCTTGTTCATTCAGAAACGGTTGCTCCATCGTGCCGGAACAAACTGAAATCTGCTCTCAAGAAGAAGTTCCAGTGTGTGTTTGAGGGGATCGCCAAGACAGGAAACCCAACCCTTCTGAACCAGATCTACACAGAGCTCTACATCACAGAGGGAGGGACTGGAGAGGTCAATGATGAACATGAGGTCAGAAAGATTGAAACAGCATCCAGGAAACCAGTCAGACCAGAAACAACCATCAGACAAGAAGACATCTTTAAAGCCTCACCTGGAAGAGACGGACCAATCAGAACAGTGATGACAAAGGGAGTGGCTGGCATTGGGAAAACAGTCTTAACACAGAAGTTCACTCTGGACTGGGCTGAAGACAAAGACAACCAGGACATACAGTTCACATTTCCATTCACCTTCAGAGAGCTGAATGTGCTGAAAGAGAGAAAGTTCAGCTTGGTGGAACTTGTTCATCACTTCTTTACTGAAACCAAAGAAGCAGGAATCTGCAGGTTTGATCAGTTCCAGGTCGTGTTCATCTTTGACGGTCTGGATGAGTGTCGACTTCCTCTGGACTTCCACAACACTGAGATCCTGACTGATGTTACAGAGTCCACCTCAGTGGACGTGCTGCTGACAAACCTCATCAGGGGGAAACTGCTTCCCTCTGCTCGCCTCTGGATAACCACACGACCTGCAGCAGCCAATCAGATCCCTCCTGAGTGTGTTGACGTGGTGACGGAGGTCAGAGGGTTCACTGACCCACAGAAGGAGGAGTACTTCAGGAAGAGGTTCAGAGATGAGGAGCAGGCCAGCAGGATCATCTCCCACATCAAGACATCACGAAGCCTCCACATCATGTGCCACATCCCAGTCTTCTGCTGGATCACTGCTACAGTTCTGGAGGAGGTGATGAAAACCAGAAGGAGAGGAGAGCTGCCCAAGACCCTGACTGAGATGTACATCCACTTCCTGGTGGTTCAGTCCAAACTGAAGAAGGTCAAGTATGATGGAGGATCTGAGACAGATCCACACTGGAGTCCAGAGAGCAGGAAGATGATTGAGTCTCTGGGAAAACTGGCTTTTGAGCAGCTGCAGAAAGGAAACCTGATCTTCTATGAATCAGACCTGACAGAGTGTGGCATCGATATCAGAGCAGCCTCAGTGTACTCAGGAGTGTTCACACAGATCTTTAAAGAGGAGAGAGGCCTGTACCAGGACAAGGTGTTCTGCTTCGTCCATCTGAGTGTTCAGGAGTTTCTGGCTGCTCTTCATGTCCATCTGACCTTCATCAAGTCTGGACTCAATCTGATGTCAGAAGAACAATCAACCTCCAAGAAGTCTGAACCAAGACGAGACGAATCTGCAGAGACAAACTTCTACCAGAGAGCTGTGGACGAGGCCTTACAGAGTCCAAATGGACACCTGGACTTGTTCCTCCGCTTCCTCCTGGGTCTTTCACTGCAGACCAATCAGACTCTCCTACGAGGTCTGATGACACAGACAGGAAGTGACTCACAGACCAATCAGGAAACAGTCCAGTACATCAAGAAGAAGATTGAAGAGACTCCCTCTGCAGAGAAAAGCATCAACCTGTTCCACTGTCTGAATGAACTGAATGATCGTTCTCTAGTGGAGCAGATCCAACAGTCCCTGAGATCAGGACGTCTCTCCACAGATAAACTGTCTCCTGCTCAATGGTCAGCTCTGGTCTTCATCTTACTGTCCTCAGAAGAAGATCTGGACGTGTTTGACCTGAAGAAATACTCTGCTTCAGAGGAGGCTCTTCTGAAGCTGCTGCCAGTGGTCAAAGTCTCTAACAAAGCTGTGTAAGTACAGAAGTAACTGGGTCAATTCAGGATCGTTTGGTCTAAGCAGTAAAATCATGTTTTTGTTTGTTGTTTCTTCAGACTGAGTGGCTGTAACCTCTCAGAGAGAAGCTGTGAAGCTCTGTCCTCAGTCCTCAGCTCCCAGTCCTCTAGTCTGAGACACCTGGACCTGAGTAACAACGACCTGCAGGACTCAGGAGTGAAGCTATTGTCTGCTGGACTGGAGAGTCCACTCTGTACACTGGAGACTCTCAGGTCAGGATCTTACACATTCAGGGTAACACTGAGACAATAAAAGTGTTCATGAATGTCAAGTAGTCAAGGTTCAACCTTGATTTATTCTCCAGAATGATTTATTGAGCCATAACAGAAGGTGAAGCCAATCAATCAACAAACTGTAATTGATCATTTGTTCCACATGAATCCTGCTAATCTAAGTCTCGGATATGAAGCTGATCTAACATGTATCTCATGCATGTTTTAAAGGCTGTCAGGATGTCTGGTCACAGAGGAAGGCTGTGCTTCTCTGGCCTCAGCTCTGAGCTCCAACCCCTCCCACCTGAGAGAGCTGGACCTGAGCTACAATCATCCAGGAGACTCAGGACTGAAGCTTCTGTCTGCTGGACTGGAGGATCCAGACTGGAGACTGGACACTCTCAGGTATGGAGGAACTTGCTGTTAGCAGAACTGATGTCTGATAGAGGCAGTAGACTGTGGAACCATTTTTTCCGTCAATGATCAGGTCAGTTAGAATAGTTGGAATAAAAATAGATAAATACATGTTGTTGAGGGTTTCTCTTGACGGTATGACAAGTTAGGCTTTGCTAGAATCCTTCATGTAGGTTACAAAAGTTTTTTAGTTTAGAGTACTTCCCTTGTATCTTGCCGTACATTCGAGTTACATTTCTAGCATTTAGCACCACATAGTTGTCACACACAGGTTAGCTACATTTTACTTTAGACTGTATATAGATATATATCAATAGATAGTATTAGTATCTAACTAACTAAATGCTTGTTGCATAGCTTTAGGAAGACGGATTGCCTTTGTTGTTTTGGTGATTCTCATGATGCTTGCTAACACATATTTAAGCAGGGAGCAGCCAATTTGCAACCAAATCTAACTGTATAACCATTTGCGCGTGTAACTTGCATCACTAACACGGTAACCTATACAAACAACTTGACTAATGCACAGTCTATTGCATGTTGCATCTGTCCATAATCTGAGAGAATATACTGTTCTGAATGTGTGTATCCTCCCTCAGGGTGGACCATGGTGGAGCCTGGCGGTTGAAACCAGGTCTGAGGAAGTGTAAGTGTCTGTAGCTTGAGAGGCAATAAATGTCTTCTTGTTTTATAACTGTATCATATGAAACTCAGCTTTGTTGTTGTTGCAGATGCCTGTGAACTCTCACTCGACCCGAACACAGCACACAGAAACCTCAAACTGTCTGACAACAACAGAAAGGTGGCAACAGTGAGAGAACAGCAGCTCTACCCTGATCACCCCGACAGATTTGACGACTGCCTTCAACTGCTGTGTCAAACTGGTCTGACTGGGCGCTGTTACTGGGAGGTCGAATGGAAGGGAATGGTCTGCGTTGGAGTGACCTACAGAGGAATCAACAGGAAAGGAGAAGGTGCTGACTGCTTACTGGGAGGGAATGATCAGTCCTGGAGTCTGTACTGCTCTGGGAAGACTTACTCTGTTCATCACAAAAGCAAAGGAAGAGACATGTGTTCTCCATCTTCCCTCTCCAACAGAGTGGGAGTGTATCTGGACTGGCCTGCTGGTACTCTCTCCTTCTACAGTGTCTCCTCTCACACAGTGACCCACCTCCACACCTTCAACACCACCTTCACTGAACCCGTCTACCCTATGTTCAGGGTGGGGTTTCAGCTGAGGCTCTTTGGCTCGTCAGTCTCTCTGTGTGAGCTGTAGGAGGAAGGCTCGTCTTCTGTTTAAAGAAACATAAAGACTAAAAGTGAAAAATGAATATTGAGACACATAAATCATTTTACCTTGTAAAAAATACAACTTATGTCTTTCACATGTAAATAAGTCTTGTAATATATTATTTTAAAGCAATATCTTCCTCACATTACGACTCTTGACACATTGGTGTTGTCCACAGGTTTAATAGTGTTGGAAGGTGTGAAACTGCAAATAAAATGAATGAAACGAATAAAAAGAATGTACATACGATACATCAGATGAAGGCAGATGTAAATAGATTGTGGAGAAGTCCAACAACATGTCACAACAATGTAAATACACCTACTTCCTGTTCCTTTTTTATTTTACTACAGATTTAACCTAGACCTGCTTTATAATCAAACAACACACGGACATCTACCTTTAGACTATATGGGACCTTTGATCCAGAACTTCATGTGGGAGGAATTCAAATCACTGACCTATACTGACTTCAGGTTTGGAAATAAAAGGAGTACACCTGCAACAGAAATGTGTGTCTGTGTCTTTGTTGTGCATTATTTTTTACATTTAGTTTTGCAGTAGAAAGTAATAAGTTATAATTCATCACAAAAACTGACTGCAAATAGTTTAGACTCAATCTCATATCAATTTCATATTTTTGATGCTTTGAAATGTTCTTTTTCTTGTGTGCATGATAAAACTGTAGATAAGAACACACTTACACTCTGACCTGGAGGTGGTGTCATCTGTTTGTTTTTTATCTGAGTCAACTGTGACAAGTGGGCGGAGCTTGTCTGTGAGTCTGTACAGAGGGCAAAGTTACCCGATGCCTGAGCAGAGCCGGTTCACAGCAGCAGCAGCAGCAGCAGCAGCAGCAGCAGAGGAGACGCAGGCCTGTGAGAAAAGAGAGTAATTAAAGCTGCTCTCAGTCAGACTCAGACGACATGGCTGAGCACAAAGTCGTCCTGTTCAGTTTCTGGGGAGTTGCCGTCTCCTCTCGACCGGATGCAGTTTTCCACAAGATGGAGGAGTTGCACAACCTGCCAGGGTAAGGAGTCTGTTATGCAACATCTCCACACTGTAAAAAAATAACCAGAGACATTTGAGACTTTTAAATTAAAGACTAAGGTTGAACAAAAACATAAATCATCATCATCATAAAATGCATGAAGATTATTAAATAATCTTGTAGTTTGAGTGGAGATAAAGGTGATAAAACTTTATTAAAAATATAAGAAGCTTGTGGTTGCTTGAGTGTTGTAAGTCTGCATGTGACGCAATCAAAACTAAAATATTGAATAAGATTTAAACAGATTTTACTGCAAATTTAGAAGACAAAGTCACAAAAGTAAATGGACACCTGTGAATAGGGTTATTGGCAAGATAAGATACATGATGAGTTCCAGCACTGCACCGTTTCCTTGTTTATTCATGTCTTTGTCTGTCCTGTCCTGCTGCACACACCAGTCAGACCAGCTACAATTAGTTATAAGTATATACAGAATCTGGTGGTTGTGTACTTAATGTGCTCCTTCATTTTTTTCTGACTTTAAACATTTTATTTTTTATGTTGTTCTGGTCAAACTTGTTTTACAAATATTCTGCATGAAAAATGTTGTTCATTTCACCACACATGAACGCAATAATATAAATGTTCCTTTCATCACATGTTGGGTGTTTTATTCAAATTCTGTCCATCTGATGTTCACGCTCAAGTAGATAAAACAGAGAGTTTAGGAACAGGAGGAAATTATTTCAATTCACAGTTTCCATTTAAAGCAGAAAAGTGTTCACATACTTTTTCTCCATCATTTATTCAATAATTAAATAAATGTAATTAGGTAGAAATATTTGTCCCTGAAATGTAGTGAAGCATAAAGTATCAGAAAATCAAAATACTCAAGTACAAGTATCTCAAGACTGTACTTTGAATGTGAAAGCTTGTTGTGCTGGTTTCTTCATTCAAATTAAGGTTTCCTGATAAGAGCGCAGACAGGGATGACCCACAGCAGCCTCACAGGACTGGCTGATGCAGTCAAGCAACTTTAATGTGCAATAACAGGGTTATAGGCAGATGCAGGAACAAACAGGCAGGAAACAGGAAACAAAACTCAGGTAGAAGGTCAGGCAGGTTTAAGTCAGAGCGGGGTGATGTGAAAATGTGAAACAGGTGAGCAGCTGGATGAGACAGCAGGAAAAAAAGAAATCTTGTGAGCAGATGATGAAAAGTGAGCGGGGCCGTTACCTTCAGCCTCCTTTGATCTCACCTCAGTGTCACCTGATAGACTCATATAGATTTTAAACATATCTGATCTTGTTGTTTTGCTGTGGTTCTCAGGGATTTCCTGTGCAGCGTTGCGTTGCGCACGGACAGCGCCATGAGGCGGGCAGAGAGAGGCGAGATGACACTCTCTCAGGTGGGTGAAGTCAAGTCTACCTCCTCTATTGCATCTGTGGGACTGTTTGTTTGACTCTGTGTTTGTGTGTGTTTGTGTAGATGATACCAGTGTTTGAGGAGGAGTGTATGAAGGAGGCGCAGGTCAGGGGTGTCACTCTGCCATCTGATTGGTCAGTTAGAAGCCTGCTGGAGGCGCTCAGAGCGGCCATGATGGACGTCCAACCAGCTGTGCTGAAGACGGCTGCTAGTCTGCGCCGCAGTGGTACACAACAACACACCTTTACACACACACACACACACACACACACACACACACACACACACACACACACACACACACACACACACACACACACACACTCTCAGGTCACTGATAATATGATAAAAGGTGATAATATTACATCAACCCCCTCCCCTCACCTCCCCTCAGGGTTACTCACAGCTGTGCTGGCCAATCACTGGCTAGATGACAGCGCAGCTGGAGATGGTCCAGCCCGCCTTCTCTCTCTGCTGGGGGGGCATTTTGACCTGGTCCTCCAGTCCTGCCGCTCAGGTCACAGGGTCCCTGAGCCCGCCATGTTCAGCTCCGCCTTGCAGCAGCTGGGAGTGACATCACAACAGGTGGACGCCACTAATATGATCAAATAGTGAATTGTTTTGGAGACAAGTAGTTTTATAATTTTTCCATCAGACAAAAGTTTTCAGTCGACCCTGGTATCATCACATCATGACCCTCTGAGCCCAGCTGTGCATCATCTTTCAGGCCGTGTGGCTGGATGCAGATGAGGAGGGTGTGAAGGCGGCAGAGGCAGCGGGGATCAAGGCCATCCTGGTGGGAAGTCTGGACGACGCTCTGGACAAACTGGCTGGTTTTACTGGAGTTCAGGTGCAGACCAGTTCTCCTCTGTAATTAACTGTATATTAAATTTATGGGGTTACAAGTAGACAGAAGGTTAAGTTGGGCTGATGTGAGAGATGCAGAAAAAGAAAGTAAACAAACAGATGTGGTCTATTTGGTGCTAACATTAGCTTGCTAATGTTACGCCCATAGAGTTTAAGCTGATTCCAGGGGTGACATATTTTAAAAAATAAGACAATTTGAATGAGCTGGACTTCAGTGGCTTTACTAGAAAGATGGTAACTGCTAACTAAATCAATTGCATCAATATAAATCACAATATAAGACAATAATACAATATCAAAATCACATTACAAAATACTCACAATAAGCATAAATACTCTGTTATATATATATATATATACATATATAAGAGGTAAGCTTAAACCAGTCCATTCTAAATAAAGGCGAATAATAATTTATATAATAATATAAAAGGTTTTTTAGGGTTAATTCTATATAATTTTACTACCTGCAATCATATTCTTTCCCAATATAAACAATTATCTGATTCCTCTTCATACATTAAATCAAAATCTCCCTCTTCCTCCTTCTACAGCACCGCAGCCACAGACAGTAGTTAGTCTTTGCCGCAGCCTGTGCGCTCTCCTGTTGCTTAGCAACGGTAAACTGTTACGCTGTGCCGTTAATAGGCTTTAGCTCGAGCTCTAACTGTTCAGAACCGTTAGCTAAACAATGATTCAAACCGTTGGGATTTAAATAATAAAATACACAAAATGTAAACCACAAAACACACACACACCACACAACGTCACCTCTGTCTCCCCCTCACGTCACCCGTCAACAATTACTCGCCTACTTTTAAAACCTGAAGCTAACGCTAACAGTTAATAATTTAACATATGTACAAAATGATCTAAAGTGCATAATATTACAGAAAACAGAAAGCACACAATATTTACAACATGTATGGCCGTTCTTACCTGATTTACCACCTGTTAGAAGAAATAAAAAGACGATTAGAGTGAGCTGGGCTTCAGAGGTTTGACTGGAAAGATGCTAACTGCTAACTGAAGAAAGCAGCTCGCCCACAATTTAAATAGCCTCACAGGTGGTCTCGTGCCTGATTTACAAACATACATATATATATACATAATTACACATTTGAAGGGCAAAATAACACACATTAAATGAGTGGGCAATTAAATAAATATCCTATGTGCCACATTAGCTTCTCCTGCTAGCTCGCTACTATCCTGTTTAATTAGCGTTGGCTTAACTAGCTAAGTTAGCCGGTTAAATTCCCAAAGGTCAACTGAAGAACGCAGCTCGCCCACAGCTTATATAGCTTCACGGGTGGTCTTGTGCCTGAATAACAAACGCTTAGAATTTTAATATATACATATTAAAATAACACATTTAAAGGAGCAAAATAACACATTAAATGAGAGTGCAATTAAATAAATATCCTATGTGCCACACTCACATGCTAACTTGCTTTCCAGGCTGTCAGAGCAGAGAGTTTTGTACCGTCCTGCAGCCCTGATGAGGTGTCACATGGATACGTCACCATCAGGGTAAATATGTGGATCAGTGTCAGTCATGTAGGTGAGAAAATGATGGTGTTTTTTCGTGTTTTTAAAGGATCATTCCTCTCTCTCTCTGTCTCAGCCTGGTGTCAGGACTCACTATGTTGAAATGGGCTCAGGTCCACCGGTTGTGCTGTGTCACGGCTTCCCTGAGAGCTGGTACTCCTGGAGGCATCAGGTGACCTTGACCTGCCCAGGATTTCACACAGAGCTTTACTACATGTTGACTCTAAAATCAGTCAGACACCAGACTGTCACTTACAGTTTCTTTTCTCTCTGCTATGGCAGATCCCAGCTGTGGCAGCAGCAGGGTTCAGGGTGTTGGCTCTGGACATGAAGGGGTATGGAGAGTCCACAGCGCCCCCAGGTGCGTACACCTGTCAGTGAGTCAATCTCTGGAGTGAGGGTTAGGGTCATATAATAAATGCAGTATGCTTATCCAGATATGATAAACTAGTATATAAATGTAGAATATACATGTTTGCAATAAAGCACAGGACTAAAAAGATGAATTTACTAATATTATATTATATTAATGTTTTTACCTCTTTAACTGTGTCACATGTCATTTTCTCACCAACAGACATAGAGGAATATTCTCAGGAGCAGCTCTGCAAGGTACACACACACACACACACACACACACACACACACACACACACACACACACACACACACACACACACACACACACACACAGAGGAATAAAATGTCATATGTGAACAGATTCATTGTTGCTGTGACTGCCACACTCACACTGCTGTGATGGTTTCTGTCCTTTTCCAGGATTTAATCACATTTCTTGACAAAATGGTGAGTGACAGCACATTACACTCACTCCTACCTCAGCAGCACAGTGATTGATGTCAAATTAAATTAGGTGATGACAAGAGTGCTGGAGAAAATAACCTTGCAAAGACATAAAACTTCATTTGAAATGTCAAAGCAGACTCTGGTCTCTGTCCCAGTCCATCCCACAGGTCACCCTGGTGGGTCATGACTGGGGCGGCGCCCTGGTCTGGAACATGGCTCAGTATTTCCCTGAGAGAGTCAGGCTAAACAAACACACACACACACACACACACACACACACACACACACACACACACACACACACACACACACACACACACACACACACACACACACACGTCAACAGGTTTAGACTGGAGAGTTGAACAGGAGTAAACTGTGTTTGTCTTGTGTGTGAAGGGCTGTGGCGTCTCTGAACACTCCGCTGTTCCCAGCCGATCCCTCTGCTCCTCCTGGTGAGAAACTGAAGGCTCTTCCCATATTTGACTACCAGCTCTACTTCCAGAAGCCAGTGAGTCTGTCTGCAGCACGCTAACACCAACACCTGCACAGGTAAAGGACTCGGCTCAGGAGAAGGAAGCTGGTTACCTCACCGAACAGTCCTCGACCCCCGTCCTCCAGGACTTTGCTCCGAACATTCAAGACTTCAAACACACAACCTCCAAACTCCCAGGCGGCCCTGGTTTTGGTCTCTTCATGAGATTTGTTAACACTAAGAAAAAAAATGACCCATTTTCTTATATTGATAAATTCATTTTCTTATCGCTTCTTGTGAAACTTTCCAGACAGCGAGATGTCAGAGTAGGTGTCAGTCTCATATTGCAACCTGGTTAGCTTAGCTTAGCATAAAGACTGGAAGCAGGAGGAAACAGCTAACCTGGCTCTCAAGCTTTAACGGGACATGTGTGTGCTGCAGGGCGTTGCAGAGGCCGAGCTGGAAAAGGACCTGGAGAGAACGTTCAAGATTTTCTTTTACAGCAGCGGAGACGTGAGCACACACACACACACACACACACACACAAGTATATATATATATATATATATATATATATATGACAGGCGTACACAGGTGATGTTGTCTTCTCCTCAGGTGAACAGTCCGGCCATAAGCACGGCAGGCGTCTGTGCTCGAGGTCAGAGGATTTCCTGCTAATTATCTCACAGATGAATCAGATTCTTGTCAGCTCATTAGACACCAACGTGTGCTGTCGGCGCTGTGTTGCAGGAGGTCTGTTTGTGGGTCTGCCCGAGCAGATTCCCAGGAGCTCCATGCTGACGGAGGCCGACCTGCAGTACTACGTCAGCCAGTACAAAGAGAACGGCTTCAGGTGGCTCAGACTGAACACATCAAACACGGCCGACAGACTTCAGCTCCAGACAAAGCTATCAATGAATTAATTTGAGAAAATAATCAATAATTAACTGATAAAGAAAATAATCATAACAACACACACACTTCTGGTCTTATTTCAAAATAAAATAATCAGGAGCTTCGGGCCTAGTTGTTACAAAGTAGTTGATCTCTAACATTTTGTATTTTGCATTTTTGTGAATCAGCAATAATCGCCTCGTGTTGTTTGACAGGAGGCCGCTGAACTGGTATCGTAACGGTCACGTGACCTGGAGGTGGATGTGTTCTCAACCCACTGGAAAGGTTTGTTGCACATGTGAAACACCTCCACCTACACTGGGTTTCTACACATCCTGGAATCCTTCACCAGGCACAGAAACCTCCTGGAAAGTGACTCCAGAGGTCCTGGAGAAAGATTTGAATGTCCCAAGAAAAATCCCAATAAACTGAAGGGTGTGTGTGTGTGTGTGTGTGTGTGTGTGTGTGTGTGTGTGTGTGTCAGCTGCTGATGCCGGCGCTGATGGTGACAGCAGGTAAAGACCCCGTCCTGCTGCCAGCCTTATCCAAAGGAATGGAGGACTTGGTGAGAAAAACAGCAGCATGACAAACTGCAGCCTGTGTGATTATAGATTATTGGAATTCAATCTGCTATTTATTACTTATTAATTCCAGATTGTGAACCTGAGCAGAGGGCACATCGAGGAGTGTGGACACTGGATTCAGATGGAGAGGCCGGCGGAGACAAACAACATCCTGATATCATGGCTTAAAGAAACACACAGGAAGGCTGGAGGTGTGGCACCCAAACTGTGAGGAGGGAAGGAAGGAAAGAAGATTAAACTGGGATGATGTGACAATACTTATTTGACTTATTTTTACTTATAAAATACTCAAATACTCAAATACTCAAATACTCAAATACTCGTTATTATATGAACTGGCAGTTTAAACTGTAGCTTTTCAGGGTGGAGTTAATTTTACCTGTTGTATATTGCGTATTAATATGTTTTCACTGCAAGAAAATTCTTAATTATGGAGTCCTGATAATAAAAATAAAATTCTGTTGTTCTTTCCAAGTAAAGGCTTTCTGTCTGTATGAATGTAGACATCGGCGGGCGCAGTACACACGTGTCGCCACACGGGGGCGCCATCACCATTTTAATTTATGATACATGAATGCGCTGACCTCTGAACTTCTGCCATTTAATAAAAACCGTACATCATATCAGAGATTACCACACCATGGGCGCCACAACAGCTTCCTGTCCACGCCTGTGTGTTTTGGTGTTTCCAGGGCCAGAAATGTGGAAACAGGAGCGACCTTCGGGCACGTGGGAGCGTACAAGCTTCCAAAACTTCACGTTGTCTTTAATGCGTCATTACTCCGCGACCGTTAGAGCGCGACACGCGCCGTTTTTTTCTCCTTAAACTAGAGAATCGGCGCTTTCTCCGACCGATACACCGACATCAACAGTTAGGAAACATTTAGATAGTCTTACCGTTTGTCTGGAGCATTGTTGCTTTCTTTGCAAGTGACATCTAGATTAACGTCACTCAATGCGACATTCCTATTGGCTCGAGTGGGTGCTGTCACAGCCAATCAGAGTGTCTGATTCAGAGGCAGTGCTGTTGTATTGTGAGGTGAAGTTGTTCTGAGTTTATTGAAGTGACAGACTAAAGACCTGTCACATATTTAGAGCAGCAGAAGCGAGGAGATGATTTATAAAGGAGAAAAACAAAAAACAAATGTAAATACTGAAATAATAAATAAATAATGAGCAGAACTTCAGACTTCTTCAAATCAGCTCTAGAACAATCCACACGTAATGTCAACAAAGACATGATCAGTTCATTACGCAGTCCCGAGAATAAAAATAAAATCCTGTTAGATGATTTAAAATCTGGTTTATTTGATTATTCCAACCTGTTTCCCATAGAAATCAACTGGCATCAATAATTTAATAGAAATAAGAGAATCTTAAAATAAAAAGAAACTTTATTCTTGACAGATCATCAAACCACATGTTTCAGCACATTTCTTCACTCATTTTAAAAACATTAACACAGAATAATAATAATGATAATATTAGCATGAACCAGTATTGGGAGTTGAGTATTGAGTATTGGGATCTGGACATTTTGAGAATAAAGTCAAAATATTTTAAGAATGTTCTGAGAATGAAGCCCAGTTGAATCTTAAGGAACAACATTTCCTTATTTTTTCTCTTAAAATAAAAACTTTATCTCGTAATATGGCTACTCTTTTTGTCTAAATCACGACTTTATTGTAACAACACTTTGACTTTTTACTCAGAATATCTCAAGTTTATTCTCTGAATCTTACATGCGATCAGGGGGCAATGGCTCCCTCCAGTGGCTGAGGTGAAAACTGCAGGTAAAACAGTTTCTCACAGTTTCTTGTTCTCAAACAGCTTCTTCCAGGCCGGCATGATGTATTCATAAATCTTCTCTATCTGTAACACACACACACACAATATGTAAACAAACACATACACAGAGATCAGATGTTGCAGATCTCAGATTACAGATCTAGAGATTAATAACAATAACGTCTACACTGGATGAGGACATTTCACAAGTGCGTTTGCAACTTTGCAGCTGCTTATGTTTAAATTCAAAAGCAGATTATACAGATTTTTTATTCGTTTTTCCTTGGAGCCATTGTCTTCCACTCACTTCTTGGTGGTATGAAAATAAATCAGCAGACTCCTGAAACTCTAGACTTGATGTCTAACTTGATGTCTATTGTGACAGATTAATAAAGACAATAGATTTTCAGATTCTTCAGAGATAAGTGGAAGCCAACGGACGCCTTGAGCAGCAGAAAAAACCCATTTCATATCACATCAACTAGTTTTACCCTCATTTCATTCTTCTTTACCCCAAGATAATTATTAAACCCTGAAGTCGTATCTCTCAGCAGTTTTGTGACGCCTCTGAAAACCTTCAACGACCGTTTTAATTTAGTTTAATCTACAGAAACACAGAGTGACGACGAACCTGCTCCGACTTCTTGACTCCATATCTGAAGAGCGTGGCCTGGTGCTCGCTGTTGTGAAACAGGATGTCGTACGTCACCTCGCGGCCCATCATGTCGTCGATGGCCGGCTTCACCACGCTGTGGAAGTCTCTGGCCGAGAACGAGTCGTCCAGCATGTTGCTGACCTGAGACACGTCAAAGGGAAGGCGATGAACAACACCAAGACTTTGTGATTGTCATTATTGTTTGTATGGAAACTGCCCGGGTGTCACCTTGTATTTTTTCCCCAGCATCTCCAGTGGATCCAGTTTGACCTCTGACCTCAGAGCTCGGCCAAAGAGGAGGAGCTTGGCGTCGGAATCTGACAAACACACACATGAAGGGGTTTTGAATGAACAGATATGATGATACAAACAACTGGAGGGCGCGCACATTTGTTGTTAGAAGAAGAAGTGAAATATCAGTCAGAGCGGGAAATCGACTTGTTTCATTAACTTTAAACAAAAACATCTTTAAATAATGTTGCTGCACTAGAACCAAGAACAATCAATCAATCATAACACAAAAAAGATTCCTGATTTTTTTCAATATGTTTGCTTTTCAAAATAAGACTTTTAAACACTTTAAAACAAACCTGACCTGCAAAAAAGTGACATTGTTTCACCTGCTTCAACAGTTTTATATAATAAAGTTTCCGTCTCCTAGACTCACATTTCTAGACAATAAGTTGAAATGTTCTGACTGCACTCGCCATTTTTTTTTATCTTTTAAAGAAAACAAGACTTAATTACAAACAGGAAATTGACGACGACACCAACCTCGACATGTCAGGTGAGCCACGTAGGGAACACCGTCTCTCTCTCCGTAGTAAATCGCGTAGTGGGAGAAGTACTTGTTCCTGGGGTACTCCACGATGTCCCCCGGGAACAACTTAGGGGCGGAATGTTTCTGCAGAAACGACAGACAGGAAGTGATGATCATGTGGTCAAAAATAACGTAGCTGTATTGCTGTATTGCTTTGTCTTTTTGAGATGAGTTTTCGGAGATATCTTGTCATCAGAAATGTACAACTGATTATCCCAAACATTAAAACCTGAGCATCGCTCACTGATCACTGCTCACTGATCACAGGCCGACAGCATCAGTCAGTCAGTGTCAGAAAGCAGAAGTTAATTTTAACCACAACAAACACTGAAGCGACTGAAGGGAGAAGCCACAAAACGAGAAGCCTCTCTGTGAACACCACTCACTCTGTTCTCTGCATTCTATTATTCTATAGACAGTTTTCTTCTATTTTTATTCTTTTTAAAGCTGCTCCAGTGTAAAGGTCTGTGTCCATGTGTAGTGTGATTATAGATCAGCTCTAGCTTCTATATTAATACTGTGAAAGTATCAAAGCCTCAGTCCACAGAGAAATGCACACAGCCTGTATTCAGAAACTGAGCCTTAAAACCAGCCGTCAGGACTTCTGGAACTTTGTGATGTCACAACAAAGCAGTCACCAAGCCCCGCCCACCTGGACCCACCATCCTAACCTTGCAGGATTTGGTTTCTCTGAGTGTTTTTACCTGAAATCTGCTGTATTTTTTATTGTTTTACTTAGAAAACAGTCAGCCAATCAGAAGAGAGGCTCAGAGCCTCCTCTCTTCTGATTGGCTCACCGAGCTGTTGTTACTAGAGCTCCAGAGAGAAGCCTGAGAGAGGAGATGTAAAACTACACTGAGATGGTTTTTGGTTCTTAAAACCACAAATATATCTTCTTATGGATCAACACTTCAAAATAAAACACAAAGTCAGAAATATGGAGCTTTAAAACATCTAACTACCTTGATTTCTGTCACATGGCTGCCACTTTCCAGGTTTGTAAGTTGTAACTAACAATTGTTTTCTAATATTTAATATGTCAGTTATGAGCCATTATTAAAGGCCCCATATTTTACATTTTTTCCATGTTTTATTTGAATTTATTTTTTGATCCATAAGAAATTCTGAGTAAGTTAGAATAAGTTTTGAACAAACAGTCCTGATATTTCCTGATCACTGAGCTTGCACAGAAAGCTGTAAGCCTGGGTCTAATCTCAAACTGTACCAAGCTTCAGAGGTCACAGGAAGTCACAGCCTTTTCTTTTAAACGCATCCTTTGAACCGTTCACGTAAGAACAAGATCTTTCACATCTTAACTTAAAGTAAGCTATAAAGTATTATCTAAGGATTTATTAACCATTAATAAAGCTCGTGGTTACACCGATTAAAATTCAAATAAACTCCAAAATGATATCAGAATTCTCCTCGTACTCACCAGGCCCATGGGTTTAGGTTTTTACTGTCGCTTTCTTCAGTCGCTTCTGAAATTAAATCCACCCACACAAACACAGAGAGAAACTCCACCTGCTTTACATAGAGGCTGTACTGATGTGATAATGAGTCTGTGTGTGTGTCTGTCACAGTAGACTGACCTCACTCATCACCCCTCCTTCACCCCACCCCCCCCACACACACATTTGTTTTTGTAGTATTGTGTTGTGGTGCATCCGAGCTTTGCGTCCGGTGTGTTTGTGGGTCGAGGTGATTTCTGAGGGACGTTCCTGCAGATTTTAGGCGACACATTTAACCTTGGAGGAGCGTGCATCCCTCAGCCGCCTCGTCCCTCCACCTCTGGGTGTGTGCAGCAGGTGTTTCCTAAGCAGAAAGCGTGAAAAGAGGAAGTAGCTTCAATCAGACTCGTTTTTATTGGAGGTATGAAGGCACCGTGAACAACAGCGAGAGGAGGCAGCGTCAGCTCTCAACAACATCATTCCAGTGGTTTTCAACGTTTTATCCCAGTTACTACAAATCACTTCGACACTGCAGGCGTCCATCAACGTCCACGCGCCTGGCAACCATGATTATGACTTGTAGTCCATGAGATAAAACTTACAATACTGCTGCCTTGGTGAGACACGGCACTCATTTGTGTTACTTTTCACCAAACTCATACGACACATCCAAAACGTATTCTGGTAAATGTGGAAGCTGTGTTTTTTTTTTTGACATTTTAATGTAATTTACCTTCTGAAAACTTTCCTCCACACTCAGCGGAGGGTTTTCTAAAAGCTCCATCACGAACTGTGTTGAGTTCAAATGCTTCTTAAAAGAGGAAAGAAAAATATCGATTTCTAGAATTTAAAATAAAAAAGAGTCTCAAACTTTCAAAACATGAAAAAAGCATTTTTGAAAAGTTAAAGCCAAGTTTTAGAAAAGACAATATCTGTTAAAACAATCCCAACTCAAGGTCCACATACTGGCTTATTTTGTAGCTTTCACTCACATGGTCTTCTTCACAAGTTGCTACAGATCAGATGAGAAAAAAAACTGTAAATGAAGCTTCAGTTGGAATTTGTTTTGTTGATTTATTTCCCAAAACTAAATATTAATTAGTTAATTTGTTTTTCACTTAATGAGGTTAAAGAGAAGAAACAGTCAGACAGAAATTCAACTATTTTGTCATCTCTTAACTGTGGGGATTTCCTGCTTTTCTCTGTGTCATGTGACAGAAAATTTTGGCATGTTTTTCCCCATCACTGGTCAGAAAAGAACAAGACATTGGTGACGGCCATTTTCATCATTTTCAGTGATTTTATAGATGACATCATGAACAAACTAATCTCAAACTAACGGTGAAAGTAATTGTTAGTTGCAGCTCTGTACAGAAGTCGGGAAGCAAACCAGATATTCCTATTGAAAGGTCATTTCTTTTGACACTTTTATTCTGTTAAAAGATATTAAAAATATTGATTTCTAAATACCATATCAGAATTGCTCTTGTTTAAAATGTAACACATCATTGCTGGTAAATCCCTTTAAAAACCCACTGGATTATCACAAAAATACATCAGCATGAAGATCAAAGGAGCAGTTCAACATTTCCAACCTCTGAAGCAAAAAAAGGTCAAATTGTTGGATCTGTATGACGAGACAATCCCTGGAGCCTTTTCTGAAAAGTATCACAAAAGTGCAGAAAATTCATCCGTTCTCAGAGAGCGACGGCTCGTTGACAACCAGCAGTGATAAAAGCCAAAAAAGAAAACCCAGCTCATCTGTCAAAAGTCTGGCTGTTAAACGTTCAGCATCCACCAGCCAGCTTTGTTTATTCCATTTCTACTGGAGACTCTATTTCTGATAAATTCACAGTTTTCAGAGCTGCTTTCTGAGCCTGGACTTGATTGACTGCTACTTGATTCTATAGCTTATTAAACACAGGAGTACTAATGCCTGAAGAAACACACCTTTGGGATTCTCGCCCTAGAAGAACAGGTTTCACATCATCTACAGAGGCGGGAAAAGTTTCTGTCAACAACTGAAACTCGAGTCCAAAGTTCATCACAGAATTACAGAAATAAACACCAGATCTCTCAATGTTTGGAGTTAAATTTCATGATTTAATAAAATAAAACTTCTTTCATGACTGAAATCAAACCGAGTTTCACTAAATCTGTGCTGAAAGAAGCGACAATATCGTCTGAAACAGTGAGAAAAATAATCAAAACCTGAAGGTATTTGAATTCCAGGATATTCCAGGAAATAGATCTGAAAGATTCTGGATGGTTTTTGAGCCAAAACAGGAAGTAACAGTGTGAAATTCCTCCTCATTGACAGCATCAGCATGTCTTAGAGTTAAGCCGTATTTGTCTAATTGAGATCAACAGCAGGGATCCAGTGCACGTCCTTTTTCCACATGTGGCTGTTTGACTGCGTTTTGCTTTTTGTAGAATCCAGGATTTAAAAAACAAAACAAAAAGAAAACAAACCCCCAGACCTCTGAATTAAATCCACTTAAAGCCTGTGAGATGATGATCCACCGTGCTCGTATGAAAAACCCACAAATCCACCACATTAGCAAAATATAGATTCTCTGTAGAGGAAAAATAAACATTTCACTTCATCAGATTCAGACCACGATTCTGTTACCGAGGAGAAGAGAGAAACCTGATGATGTCACTGATTTAAAGTCAGTGTGATGCGAGTGTGTGTGCAAGCATCACACACACACACACACACACACACACACACATTAATGCCCCATTATAAAGTCAGTGCAGCGTTACAGTCGTTCAGTCTGTCAAAGGCACCTGAGTTTAGCTCCAACCTGAGCTGGAGGTTCACCAGTGTATAAACACTCTCTCTCACACACACTCACTCACACACACACACACACACACACACACACACACACACACACACACACACACACTCTCTCTCTCTCTCTCTCTAACTGTGTTCCTCTCCCTGACTCTGGCTCTCCTGAGTGTCTTTGCCCCAGCTGAGGCCATTGAGGGGCGTGTGTTTGTCCCAGCTGTCCGTGTTGTGCCCGTGCTTCCTCTGGTGGCGTTTGTAGTTGTCCCAGTGGCCCGTGGTGTAGCTGCACTCGGCGCAGGCGTACGGCTTCTCACCCGTGTGCCGCAGCATGTGCCTCTTCAGGTTCATGCTCTGGTTGCAGGAGTAGCCGCAGACGCCGCAGTGGAACGGCTTGGCGCCCGAGTGGATGCGCTCGTGACGCCGCAGGTTGGCCAGGTTCCCGCAGGCGTAGCTGCACGACGGGCACTGGTAGGGCTTCTCGCCCGTGTGCACGCGCATGTGGCGCTTGAGGTTGTCGAGGTGCGAGGAGGTGTAGGCGCAGTGGGGGCAGCGGTGAGGTTTCTCCTCAGAGTGGGTGTGCGCGTGGCGGGCCAGGTGGTTGGGGTAGTGCGACAGGAAGGGGCAGTGAGGGCAGCGGTACAGCTTGGTGCTTCGCTGACCCCGGCGGGATCCCCGAGACACGGCCGGGCTGCAGGGAGGTCCGGATCCATCTTTAGACAGCAGGTCCAATGAGCAGCGACGACACACCTGAGAACATATGAGCACAGGTGTCACACGCTGGGGGGGGAGGGGGGGGGGGGGGGGGGGGGGGGGGGGGTAACTAAGTACATTTACTCCAAGAATGTCATGGAGTGTTGTTGCTATGGAAACAAACTAAACATACATTTCAAATTCAGGTGAGGACATAATGTTTCTGTATGTGAACTCACTATGATTCATACACATCGAAGTTTTTATTAACGTACCTGTCCTCCGTCACCCTCCCCCTCCCCCTCCCCCTCCCCCTCGGCCTTGTCGCCCTCCAGGTCGGCCTCCTCCAGGGTGAGGCCACACACCCGGCAGCACAGGGGGAAGAGGAGGACGGGGAGCGGGGCGGAGGGAGAGCCGAGGCCCCCCAGCGTCTGGAGGTAGCCCGAGTCCTGGGACACCCGCAGGGTGAGGTCTGACACGACTGCACCAAGACGACAGAGGGAGAGAGAGGTTTTTAATAAGAGCTTCATCTCTGTGAGAACAGTTTGATCTGACTGTGATTCTGCTGATGACAACATGCTGCAGTTTTTACGTTTTATCCTTCATCTAAATCTCAATACGAGAAGAATCTTTTCTGATCGTTTGACTTTATTAGCGACACCTTGTTTCACTCAGTTTTAAAGTGATTGTCGTGAGTTTAAGCTGAAACTTTTCTTCTCCAAATGTTGATCCTGATGCAGCTCAGCTTCAGGTCGATAAGCATTCAACCGAACGACTCCTCTTCCTCATTTTTAAACTCTTTCAGTTTCGACTCATTGCTTCCTCTTTTCTGCTCCAAAATGAAAAGTTGCCCATTAAGACTTTTAAAAATAAAAATAAAAACCTACGACGTTTCTTTTCAGTCAGATCATAAACCAAGAATTTATTTTATTTACATCCCAAAACTCGACTCTGTCTCCACCTGAGATTTTTAAAAAGGTTTCCTCCATTTCCCTGCAGTCACCTTGTTCTCGTCTCAAGAGCAGTTTTTACTTTGGGCGTGTGACATTTCTGACTCAAGTGTTGCGTGTAAAGAAAAGAGTTCACAAACACGTGGGTATTTAACAGAAAGGGAGGTTGTGTGATAAGAAACGTGGGATCTAATGTTTTTGAGAAATAACTTCAGTTGCGAAACTTCTTTATTTAATCTGTCTCTTGCGAGTCAAGAAACTCAAGTTCACCTAAGTGATGATTGTGACAAAATAATAAAGATCAACAAAAAGCAGCGTTACTGTCAGCAACAATTAAATATTCAAAAGTTTCTCTCAGCAAAAAGAGAAATGGTTCCATGAGACTCAGTAAAGCCACAAAGTCTGAACATTCAAACATTTTATCACTGAAAAGGCCAAAACAACAGAACGAACAGTTAGTCAAAGTGTGTGGGTGTGTGTGTGTGTGTGTGTGTGTGTGTGTGAGTGTGTGTGTGTGTGTGTATGTTACCGTCTTCAGTCCCAGCGCTTGTTTTTTTCCGCCTCCCTCGTCTTTTCTCCTTCTCCCTCCTCTGCGGTCTCTCCTGCGTGTGCATGCGCTGGTGCCTCCGCAGGTTTCCCAGGGAGCTGCAGGCGTAGCTGCACTGGGGGCAGCGGTACGGCTTCTCTCCGGTGTGCGTGCGGGCGTGGCGCTGCAGGTTGACGAGCTGCGCCGAGGCGTAGGGGCAGACGGGGCAGTGGTACGGCTTCTGGCCGTCGTGGATCCTCATGTGGCGTTTGAGGTGGTTGGAGTAACGCGAGGTGAAGGCGCACAGCGAGCAGGAGAACAGTTTAGCGGGGACGTCGTCAGCAGCGCCCGTCTTACCCGCGCTCCTCCTCTTCCTGTCGGAGCCGCTGCTGATGGATCTGTCCGACAGGTTCGACTCCTCCACCTGAGGGGAGTCGATGGAGGCTGCATGCTGGAGGCCCTCCTCACAGGTTAGACAATAAAGCTCCGCCCCCAGGTCCAGACCCACACCTGAACAAAACAAATCAAATTTTATATGAGAACAAGAAAAAGACAAAACTGTCAAGCCCCAGAGAGACTCCTAAACTCTAGTGTGAACCCCCCAAGTCTTTATGGTGTAAATGTCTTGATATGGAAATGTAAAAATAACGTGACGTGATTTCTCTTCTACCTTTGACAAAGAAAAAGAAGAAAGATGTCAAATGTTGTGACGGTTACCGAGATCTAAGCCCGCCCCCAGAGGCGTGTCTCCCAACAGCTGACCACACCCTTTACAGGAGAGGAACGCTGGGAAAGTGGAGTCTGTTGGAGCCGAGGGGTCGTCCTCCACGCTCAGAGAGAAGACCGTCATACCTGAGGAGGGACACAGGTGAGTCGAGTCACATAATGAATAAATGAATAATGAGCTCCTGGTCAGTCACCGACACGTTTCAGCTCCGACAGTTTGAGCTCCTCTGGTTTCTGCAGTAAACACCTCAGGAGACGCTCGACTCCTTTTCACTTGTCAGAAACGTATTTTACAAAAAGTCAACGTGATTATAACAAACACATTGTCTCATATGGCACACGACTAACAGCTGAATGTACCCGTCACTCCTCTTTATTTGTTTCTGAGCAACACACATCAGCTCTGGTGCGCCTCTCCATGACTCTCCCTCACTTACACCTACAGCAAACCCATCACCTCCACCTGAAGCATCATCCGCCTTTAATTCAGCACAACTGAGACAGAACCAGCCACAATGTTCCAGTATTTTCCTCCTTCCTCCAACATAAGTACATCAGGTTGTGCATATAAAAACACATACAGTCTGATATATGTGTGTGTGTGTGTCTCTCTCTCACCGGCCTCTCTATCCAGCCCCATGATCTCAGAGTCTCCAAACTCCAGCTCCCCGCTCAGCAGGAAGTCGCTCTCCAAAACCAGGCAGCCCGGCTCACACACCACCTCCCCGTCCTCCGACTCCACTGAACACACAAACATTTCTCAGGATTACTTGTGCCAAAAAAACATGTTAAAACACACAGCAGTGAATTAAAATAGTGAGCAAGGTGAGAGAGGAAATCCTGAGAGAGGCTGAGCTGCCTGAAGCTCAACAGGAAGGTCCTGGCTCCTGTTTTTCATATTGACTAAAACACAAATGAGCTTTGAGAGGATTAAAAGGTCTGGGTGTCACTGGGTGTCACTGGGTGTCTGCTTCACTGATACAAGTCCTAACATAATACCTTTTTGTTCATATTATTCATATCAGGAGCAAATAAAGACACTGAACATGCCATCTACTTTTCTAAAACTTTACTTACAACTTACACAATAAATTCTAATTTCTTTGCCAAACAAGTTCTAATTTCCCTGAAAAGGTAAAGGAAGGTTTGTACAAAAATGTGCCAGTATCTTTGCTTGTAAACAAGTGAAACAATTCAATTCAAATTACAGTGAATAAAGAAATCTACACAAATCTATAAAATGTTAAAAATGATGATTTCTGTCTTCAGGTTTGTCTGTCCAGCAGTGCAACACTTGACGGCACTAAATTCACTGTCATATCTGACCAAGAAAACCAGCAAATTCTCACATTTGAAAAGACAAAACCAGAGAATTTTTCACATTTTAGCTGTTTTGAATAATTCAACTTAGATCGACTAATTGCTGCAGCTCCTTTTTATTCTGACGTATAAAACTTGGTACATGTGTGACTGGCGTTTCACAGCAGAAAGTGGTTTCAGACTGCAAAAAGTAAAAGAAACAGGACAGAGTGATGACCAAGATTTGTGCTCAGAAAAGGTAGAGGAAGATGATGGACAAGGGTAAAGGAGGTGGACATGAGAGTAAACAGACGCAGGCAAGCAAAGGAAATCAGTGAGGATGAGATAAGTGCAGAGGAGGAAGAGTTGGAGGGCGAGGAATGAGTCAGGAAAAAGAAGAGAAGTGAAAGAAGGGATGAGAAACAGAGAGAGAGAACACAGCACTGATGATACATTACATTTTCATACACTTGAATAGCTGTTGACACTATTAGCACAACAGCGACCGAGCTTAGAGCCACTTCTGTTTGACCAAAGACTCACTGTCTGGCTCCAACCCTCTCACAGGAGTTTAAAGCATCTTAAGAAGCAGATTCAAAGTTCTGATTTTTTACTGGAACAATGGTAATTCTGATTTTCTACCAATTTTTTGCTAAAACCCCCAAACAAAAGCAAGTTAGAAGTAACATTACTGTGTATTTAAGATGTTTATAAATGACATTTAAGATGTTCTAATTCTGTGGAAGGCCTCATTTTAAAAGTGAACAGAAGTGAACGGTTAGTAAGACTTTTCAAGACCTGCAGATACCCTGATGTCAACAGGCTGATGTGCTGAAACACCAGGAGATGAACCCTGAGCACTGGCACTTGAGACAAAATTAAAGAATAAAACAGAGATAACTGTGAGGTGGGGGTGCACAGGAAGCAACACAGGGAGCAACACAGGAAGCGATGAAAGAAAGAAAGGAAGAACGAGGGGAAGGAAAGGAGGGAGCAGAGGGTGGGTTGGGGGGGGAGGTCAGGTAAAGGCCTGTGAAGAGGAAGAGAGGAAGTGGAGAGTCCAACTTGAGCCAGAACAGTCAGGATGAGATAACACACAAACACATCTGCTTTACGGACAACAGGACTCCAGCGGTCTTCCTCTTTGATAGATAATGAGGAAGGAACAGAGCCTGCAAAGTCAATATGTTAGACCAGTTAGGCAACTTTTTATAAGGTTGTTTCCTGGGCAACCCAATAGTGTTAGTTCAAAACAGGTATAAACTTGTGAAAACACGTATGTTAAAGTGACTTTTGCATGGATTAAAAGCAACAAAGAGCCACTTCCTTAAACTGAGACTGTGATTTAAGGTTTGAGAAGAGAAGGGCAGCTCATAGGGTCATGAGATCCAGCCGTAAACAGCTGGAGGAAAACAACTCAACTCACATTTCACCGGCTGGGGGTTGGACTGTTTTCTCCGCGGCATCTTCGCCTCTCTTCGTCCCGGATCCTGCCCCGGCTGTAGTGGGAGACACCACACACAAAAGTGGGCTCTGGTGCGTCGGTCCGTCAGCCAGCCAGGCAGCCAGCTAACTGCATGTAATCATCATCACCTCCTTCCTCTTCCTCTTCCTCCAACGGACAGCGACAGCGGCGGTGTCATCGCTCCCAACTACTGCCTGAAACGGAGGCTGTACACCGACACCAGCGGCCATTAAAAAACGACTAATCCTTCTTTTTAAATCAATAAATTACACTCTACATTTACCCCCAGCTGCAGTGTGGTTTTAAATGGCGTTACACACACTTCTGTCACTTTAAAGTTAACGCTGTGATTCATTCTTTGTTATTGTTTCGCAGCAAATAGCCGGAGCCATCTTGCTAGCCACCTAGCTAGCCGGCTAACTTTAACATTAAAAACTAAGCTGTCGTTTCAACTTCAAACTTGAAATACCGTCTACATTAGTGGATATAACTTCACTAATAAACCTACCTGTGATAAAGTCCCACAACAATAATACTGTCGTCGAGAAAACGTCGCTAACTCCTCCAAAAACACTCTTTTGTTGCCAAACGCACACCGCTGCTGACAGAGCTACGCCGGGTCCGGGCTCCGGATGACGTCAGTGACAGGCGCAGAGGTTTATGGGACTTGTAGTCTTTTAAATGCCATTCTCTGTAATTGCTGAAATGCCACTTTGGACAGCAAGAGCTACAAGCAGCAAGTTGTTTCTTTAATATAACTCACCTGTTTACAATATATTATTGTTTAAAGTTATGCATAATTGAGGGCGTGGCCTGTTTGAGTGACAGGTGGGTGAGCTACAAACCCACATACACTGAAGTCTCGGCTCCACACCAACCCCAAGTCTTTGCCTATTTTTGGATTAGCCAGGAGTTAGTCAGAGCAGCTAGCAGGCTAATATATCATGCATTTTTAAAAATATTTTTTATTTCTTTATGTGACAAATTGTCATTTCAACAACATTGATTTTTTACCACTGTCTTTATTTTGATGGAAATAAAACATTGTTGTTTATTTAACAGAAATATTGTTGTATATTAAATTAAACAATTAAAAAAAACAGTAATTCGTATGGTAGCAAAGTAAAAAATAAATGCCAACACTGTTATAAGAGTAGAATCATTTGAAACCATCTCAATCTCAGTATCTGTAAAATGACACGTAGGACCACACCAAGGAGAAACTAAGCACACGGAGGAGGAATTAAATCAGATGCACTTAAATACCAGGAGTTTGGGGCGTCGTGTGGCGTAGTGGTCTAAGCAGGCGCCCCATGTGTAGAGGCCACAGTCCTCGCTGCAGTTGGCCCCCGGTTGGCATCGGACGGCCTTTGCTGCATGTCATTCCCCCTATCTCCACCTCCCCATTTCCTGTCTCTCTACTGTACTATCGAAAAAAAGCATTAAAAAGCCCTAAACCTATACTTTAAAAAATACCAGGGGAAGGAAAGATACCTGAAAAAAAGGAACAAGGCGTTGTTAAATCTGTGTCATTATCGTTGAGCAAAGATACACACTGTGAAAGTTAACTGACTATGCTTAGATATTACAATAATCATTTTACATTTCTTTTTTTAATTGACCTTTTTTGTATTTTGATATATATTTTGATATTGCGTTGTATCTTATCGTTGCTATACTATCTATTATTTGTGCCTTTACTATGTACTACTATTAATACTACCTCATTATGCTATAGTTTTGCCTATAACTAGCATTTGTACAGCTCTTTGGTCAATTCCAATTGTTTTAAATGTGCTATAAATCAATCTGATTTGATTATGATTTTTATGAGTCATGCCTATAGAAAAACTCTCCATACCAGAGAAAGCGTTGTCCAACAGAGAGCTGATTCACCGTGCGCTGCAAGATTAGATCTTCATCCAGCCTGCTGCCTATCTCCTGTAATAAACGGCTAGAAAGAGACAAAAATGATGCATGTAAGATCATTTGAATATATTCGCTGACATACTTACCAATTTACTTTGACCAATGATTACTTTTTTATCTGGATTTGTTCCAGTTTAGTACTGAATTAGTTTGTGACACAATCATACAAGTCTTCCCTGGTTACATACGGTATCTTTCAAGAACAGAGACTCATGATGGGTACAGACACCTTGGTGTAAATATCATTTGACTTAGTTTAATTACCATCACTATTTTTATCATTATCATTCCTGAATGTTACTGTACTATTCAATAAACTGAGAAATCCTGATGTCTCCAGTGTACAGTAGACTTGAGAGAGTGGAGTACATTGAGAGAAAGCGCTGCTGAGTCCTGCAGGTCATTGTTACTCAGGTCCAGGTGTCTCAGACTAAAGGACTGGACCCTAACCCTGAGGACAGAGCTCTACAGCTTCTCTTTGAGAGGTTACAGCTACTCAGTCTGAAGAAACAATGATGAAGATAATAACAATTATTTTTTTCTTAATCTCCAATTAAGATTTCCAGATACTTACCAAATCCTGAATTCCTCTGTTTCTTTAGTTAAATCCAGGTACCGCTGGATCTCCTCCTGTAGAGAAGGATCTTTCAGTTCATACAGACATTCGATCAGATTTAAGATCTTCTCAGGAGATGAAATCTCTTTGATCTTCCTCTTGATGTACTGGATTATTCCCTGATTGGTCTGTGAGCCACTTCCTGTCTGTGACATCAGACCTCGTAGGAGAGTCTGATTGGTCTGCAGTGAAAGATCTAGGAGGAAGGGTAGGAACAAGTCCAGGTGTCCATTTGGACTCTGTAAGGCCTCGTCCACAGCTCTCTGGTAGAAGTTTGTTGGTTCAGGTTTGTTTCTAAACAGTTTAAACCACAGTTTAAACCACCAGGAGATTGATTGTTCCTCTGACATCAGGTTGAGTCCAGACTTGATGAAGGTCAGATGGACATGAAGAGCAGCCAGAAACTCCTGAACACTCAGATGGACGAAGCAGAACACCTTGTCCTGGTACAGGCCTCTCTCCTCTTTAAAGATCTGTGTGAACAGTCCTGAGTACACTGAGGCTGCTCTGATATCGATGCCACACTCTGTCAGGTCTGATTCATAGAAGATCAGGTTTCCTTTCTGCAGCTGCTCAAAAGCCAGTTTTCCCAGAGACTCAATCATCTTCCTGCTCTCTGGACTCCAGTGTGGATCTGTACCGGTTCTTCTATCATACTTGATGTTCTTCAGTTTTAGCTGAACCACCAGGAAGTGGATGTACAGCTCAGTCATGGTTTTGGGCAGCTCTCCTCCCTCTCTGGTTTCCATCACCTCCTCCAGAACTGTAGCAGTGATCCAGCAGAAGACTGGGATGTGGCACATGATGTGGAGGCTTCGTGATGTCTTGATGTGGGAGATGATCCTGCTGGCCTGCTCCTCATCTCTGAACCTCTTCCTGAAGTACTCCTCCTTCTGTGGGTCATTGAACCCTCTGACCTCCGTCACCACGTCAACACACTCAGGAGGGATCTGATTGGCTGCTGCAGGTCGTGTGGTTATCCAGAGGCGAGCAGAGGGAAGCAGTTTCCCCCTGATGAGGTTTGTCAGCAGCACGTCCACTGAGGTGGACTCTGTAACATCAGTCAGGATCTCAGTGTTGTGGAAGTCCAGAGGAAGTCGACACTCATCCAGACCGTCAAAGATGAACACGACCTGGAACTGATCAAACCTGCAGATTCCTGCTTCTTTGGTTTCAGTAAAGAAGTGATGAACAAGTTCCACCAAGCTGAACTTTTGTTCTTTCAGCACATTCAGCTCTCTGAAGGTGAATGGAAATGTGAACTGTATGTCCTGGTTGGCTTTGTCTTCAGCCCAGTCCAGAGTGAACTTCTGTATTAAGACTGTTTTCCCAATGCCAGCCATTCCCAGTGTCATCACTGATTTGACTGGTTCATCTCTTCCAGGTGAGGCTTTAAAGATGTCTTCTTGTCTGATGGTTGTTTCTGGTCTGACTGGTTTCCTGGATGCTGTTTCAATCTGTATGACCTCATGTTCGTCATTGACCTCTCCAGTCCCTCCCTCTGTGATGAAGAGCTCTGTGTAGATCTGGTTCAGAAGGGTTGATTTTCCTGCTTTAGCAATCCCCTCAAACACAAACTGGAACTTCTTCTTCAGGTTAGATTTGAGTTTAGGCTGGCATTTGCGAAGAGCCTCTGAATGAATAAACAACAGATAGTAAGATGACACAGTAAAGGACTGGTCACAACAGAAAGTGTCACGGTAAAATTAATCCACACTCAGGAAATATTTGGATCTAAATTTCATCTTGGGGACGACACAGTTCTCGTTGGTGAACTGCTGTAATTTGACAATTCACTTTGGTTGGAGGCGGGTCCATGATGCCAACCCATCAGTGTGTTTGATTGTGTCATCAGGACACTTTACCTTAGGGGATAGTAGACAGGGAGAATTTTTGCAATGTCACACAGGAAGGTAACACTTCCTTTGATAACATTTTGTATTGCAATGCTTATCTTGAAGGTGACGATGATACGGCGATGATACTCTGTTTTATCATTCATACTAAATGGCCTGAGTCAATTTGTTTTGGACAAACAACAGTTTTAAGGTTGCCTGTTTCTGCAACCTCATTCTCAGACTACCTTTTGAGTTATATAGCCTTCTGGAGGTGTGCTAGCCCTTAAATGTGATTTGTTCTTCTATTACTCATTTCCATTTCCCATGATTCCATCTCTTGCATGCCTAGAGAGATGAGTCACTGGTAGGGCAGGAAACAGCGCCCTCTACTGTGCAAAGCCACCAGCATTGTGGATAACTCCAAACATCCCTCAAACAAACTCCTCACCCTTCTGCTGTCTGGCAACGGTACGGAAGTTTTCTTCCCCCAAGCCATCACACCCCTTAATACCCAGTGAATGGACTGACAACCTAACCCACCCCCACCATGTAAGGCTATTTGTCAGTAAATAATTGCTACAACTCCTCAAAATCCAAAGTTCCCACGTCTCGTCTTAGCTTCCCTTTGGTCCAGATGAGGAACCAGGAAAGGTTAATAACACTGAGGCTGGAAAACGCAGAATTCTGCATCATCACTGAAGTATGTCATTGTCACTTAATGGTAAATATTTTGAACATTACCATAGAAGTGATTTTTAGATATTTTTCCTCTGTACTGCACATTTGATGTGTGTAAGGAATAATCCAATATTTCTTCAGCCAGGAAGGAGTGCAGAAAGGTGAAGCTGTCCAGGGGGATAGTTGGTTGTTTAGCTCTGCTTGCCTATCTGTAAAAGTCACTGTACGCCATTGGTTTTCTCCTACAAGTTTGTACTTTGCTGACATCCCCCCACAAAAGCTTTTGAACTCTACCTGCTGCAAAAGCTGCACGTGCTGATGGATCTTGAGGCCAAACTTGTGACCATTTTCCTGTTGGAGAAAAGTGAATCTTAAATCATGAATAGTTCTCTGTTAAAAAAAAAATTATGCATTTTTCTTATGCAATATACAGAATACTCTATGTCTGTATACTTTGTCCTCAGACTTCAACTGCCAGGAAACACAGTGGCAAAACCAAGAGGTTTAACAAAGGTAATGTGGAACAGATACAGCCTGAGTTTAAATACACTTCAGATGTTTGTAAATGTATGTGTGCCAGTATATTCCATGTTTTTCTTTCCCTATGACTGACCTTCATTCATTTCCATCTTCTTTAAAATTAACCTTGCCACCTGCATTATATTTTCAGTAGTGTACGCGCCGACCATCAAATCCACTGTTTTCTCTCTCCCTGCATTCTCCAGCTCATACTTTTTGATGGCAGGGAAACCACCCAGTAAGTCAGCATCCTGCAGGTACCACTGGAAGCGGTTCAGTTCTTGACCCCCTAAAGCCTCCAAAGTGTGCAGCAGCTGCAACTTCACTGGCGTCTCCATCTTTGCTACCTGATAGAATCAGAGGATTTTTCTTTCAACAAGAATGAAAGGTTCAGATTATCATGATTCATCATTCATGTAGTGTTACTCAAAGATGATTTTTTTCTTTTGAATCAAACTTTTCAATTATATATATATATATATATATATATATATATATATTTAGTGCCACAACATCCCTGGTTGAAAATAATGTTTTGCTCAGTTCATTTGCTGTTAGACTAACATTTTAATAAAGGCTGAAAGTTTAACACTGCAAAATTAGATATGACCAAGAACTTTTACTAACTAGTGAAAAATTGTAAAATGCATTCACTCTATTCTTCATGAACATCGACCAGGTTAATAATGATCGGACTTGCTGTATCATCTGTAAGCTTAAACTGAGCTGCTCTCAAACTTTATACAGGACAAACATCAGTGACTCACGGCAGTGACGGCCGACAGCAGACAGTCGTATCTCAGGGTTCACTCTGCTCCTCACACATCGCAGCATCAGCTCTGGGGGTCTGACGACTGATGACAGATGGAGGAGATTGTTTCACTTGACCTCTGAACACTGTGACTGACTGGCATGTTCATTACATTGAGTCAGATCATAAACTTATTCTGTTGGGCTATTTCCTGGTTCACTGACACAAACTACTGTCAAGTAGCTGTGAGCCACGTTGTGTCTGAGAGTCAAAGTCCAAACTGAAGAAACTGAGCACAGAGAACAGCTGCGATAAATGAGCTGTTTGAGCATCTGAGCTCAACTTAGTCTAGTTGTATGAATGACTCTTGATATTAATAAATTAGTGCACATGATGTAAAAGTGGATCAAGTGTTCCAAAATTAATACAACTTACTTTTCGTGGGGCTTCTTCTCCAGTAAATACAAACAGAAACCGACAGGTGTTGGATCTCAGCTGGTTTGAGACATCTAAAGCAGATTAAATGTCATTTGTGAATTTTTGTGAATTGAGTTTGTTAAACAAGTGACAATCTTTCCACGGCAGAGTTTACAGAGTTTGAATCTTATCTTATATGTTATTATTTGATTCCAGTAAATCAATGATCCAATGATTTATCTTCAAACACATGAGTTCTCCAAACTCTCTCAAGAAATAAGAACTGAGCGACTACTACAGTCTGTAAATATGTCTGTAAATTACTTTACAGAAACGTATATATATATATATATAGAGCACGTATAGAGTGAATCAGGTGATCTGTACCTTGTTCCTGATTGGACAAATCGAAAGAGTTACAACAGACCCTTGTTACAACGATTCCCGCTCTGTCCTACAAACACCATACAGCGAGAAACACAGACTGAATTAAGTCCTTTAAGACAAAATGGACGTGTCAAACAAATCAAACTTACACTTAATTCAAACCGTCTAAAGAGCCGAAAAAGAAGAGTCTTCACCGGATAACTGCAGAGTAACTTTGACGGGAGCTATTTCCTGGAATGAGTCAGAAGTAAGACGGAAGAAGCAGATTTTCACAATAAGATGCCATTTTACGTGTTGATTTTGACGTATTTAATTTATTGTTGTTTGTGATGATGTGAGACACGGGGAATTATCTCCCCCATATTTAACATTTAAAAAAAAACTCTGCGTTAATACAACCAACATGTTGCAGTTGCAGTTTACTGACACCAGATGGCGCTTGTTGTGGGGAGGGGGGGGGGGGGGGGGGGGGGGGGTAGGCCTGGGTGGTCAGTGTGTAGAGACGCCCCAGAGTCTCTTTCCGGTTTAACATCATGAAATTCAATCATAAAAATAATACAATGGTGATTATCAGACAGTGAAGTTTACAAGTCAGTTACACGTGTACCAGTTGTATCAGTTTCTACCCAAAACTACAATGTAAAGAGCGTCACTGTTTATTTTCTAGGACTTTACAGATACATGAAGTTATAATAACATTTAAATGTCTTGTTTATCCTGTAGGCCTACATATTATTCATACGTCTCAAGGTTTAAAGTTGAATTAAATTGCCACTTGCTCAATCAATCCAAACCCTCTGACAGTACTTGATCACAAGTTAATCATGGCCTCAAACTCATCAATTCTCTGTTTGGTGTTTCCTCTCCGGATCTTCCTGTAGGACACAGTTTTGTACTTGGATGGCTGCTGGCTGTCGTTCTTCGTGTCCTCCTCGCCGTTCATCTCAGGAGAGTTTTGACCTCCTTCCTCTTTGTCTCCTTTGTCCTCCTTTGCCTCCATCACAGGGCTCTCTGTACTGGGTAAGTTCTGGGTCGGACCGGGCTCTTTGTTGCCTTGTGTGGACACCATCAACTGGGCATCTGCATCCATCAGTGTCGCTCTGTTCTCCAGCCTGCAACCTGATGCCCGCAGACCTGGAAGTGGAAATATCTAATAAAATTATTTGAATTAAAAAGTAAAGCATGCAAGGTTTGTTTTTGCCAACCGTGTGAGTGTCATCTTTGTGGAATTTTAATTAGATTTTAATGAATGAATTAACTCTCTGACCTGAATCTCCACTCGCAGTAATTGTGTTCCAGCCGCTCATAGCTGCAGTTATATAACCTCTTCTCTACACTCTGAACATCCAGCTCCATACTGAAACACTCAGAGCACAATTAACTTAAGGTTTTAGGCGTACAAACAAATTAAAGGTTCGGACTCCCCGGGGAGAATTACATATTGAAGTCATTGAAAAGAAGAAAATACGTCCCCTGCAGCAAACACCTTATACAAATGTTAAAGCACTCTTACTTTTTTTTAATGAATATAAAAATATAAAACAATAATCAGTAATTGTGGCATGTAGAAGTTCTGCTCTCTTTTATTTGTGGGCTCACTAATCTGTTCTTTATATAGATCACACACTTTATGTCTATTTTGCACTTTGCAAATGAAGAAAATTGATTATTTTACACTGTAAAATATCATTCCTATCTGTGGGTGAGCTGATTTCATTTCAGATATAATCATACGTTCACATCTTACACCTTGAATTTACAAAACAACTGTTGGCTGAACTTAATTTCTTAGGTTAGTTTCATTTCCTGAATTATTTAAACTCTGCACAAATGCTGCACAGCTTCACCTGCTCACCTGCTCACCCAGGTGCTGAAGCTGAACCTGAAGCTGGTGTTGTTGTTGTTGTGTTGTGGAAGTTGCTCACAACACAATGGAAACATGGTGACCAACAGCGACCGCAGGTGACACCGTCTCAAGGACCTGAACTCTAGTGTTTCACAGCGTCGTAGGAGCACAAAGAGAAGAACCGGAGACGGCAGAATAGCAGCGGTTACCTGTGTGTCGCTCAGGTGGAGTCTCTCCGGAGGCGTCCTCCTCTGATGGATCCCTCAGACGCAGACGGACACGGACCGAGGGGAGGTGTGTGTGTGTCACAGTCGGAGCTGGAGCGTCTGTGCTGCTCAGAGACGACTCGTCCGGCTCTTTGTCGCTGCTCGGCGATGTGGGATAAACGTCCTCGCTCTGGTCTCTGGCAGCGACTGAGCCTCCCTCTCCATCTGTGAGCACCGTGTCACCTGCACCGTCAGCACGCAGCCTGTCAGAGAGTCCAAGCTCTTGTAGAGGTGATGCAGGTGATGCAGGTGATGCAGGTGATGCAGGTGATGCAGGTGATGGAGGTGATGCAGGTGATGCAGGTGATGGAGGTGATGCAGGTGATGCAGGTGATGCAGGTGATGCAGGTGATGCAGGTGATGGAGGTGATGGAGGTGATGGAGGGGATGCAGGTGATGCAGGTGATGGAGGTGATGCAGGTGATGGAGGGGATGCAGGTGATGCAGGTGATGGAGATGATGCAGGTGATGCAGGTGATGATTTCTGGGAGTCTGATTGATTGAGCTGATTTTCTGGCTCTTTTTCTTCTTCTGCATTTTTTTCTTGTCCTGCTGTCGTCTCCTCTTCTTCTTCTTCTTCTTCTTCTTCTTCTTCTCTGTCAAACTTTTGTTTTTTGTTTTCTTCCTGTACTTCCTCTTCTTCCCTTTCCTCCATCTCTTCTTCTTTTCTCACCACCTCCACTTCCTTGTCTTTAGTTTCATCATCCTCTTCTTCATCTGTCTCCCTGTCTTCTTCTTTCTCTTCCTCCTTTTCTTTCTCCATGATGTCATCCTTACTTCCTTCCTCTTTTCCCTCCACCTCCCTCTCTTCCTCTCTTTCTTCTTCCTCATGACTCTCCCTCTCTTTCTCAGCTCTGTCATTCTCTCCTCCTTCCTCCATCTCTTTCTTTCCTCCACCATCCCCTCTTTCTTCCTTCATTACCTCCTTTTCTTCTTCCTCCTTCTGAGTCTTTATTTCTTTCTCTCCATCTTTTTCTTCCTCCTCCATCACCTGCTTTTCTTCTACCTCTTCATCCACTGTGTTCTTCTCTTGTTCTTTTCTTCCTTCAATCTTTTCTTCTTCTTCTTCCTCTGTCTCTTCCTCCTCTGTCTGCCTCTGTTCTTTGTTTCTCTCCACCTCTTCTTCATCCTGTCTTTCTACCTCGACTGTCTGTCCAAGTTCTTTTAACCTTTTCTCTTCATCCTCATCTCTCCTTTCTGTCTTGTCCTCTTCCCTTCTTTCTTTCTCTTGTTGTCCTTGACTCTTTGATTTGTCCTTTTCCTCCACGTTTTCTTTTTCTTCTTTCTCTCCATCTACCTCATTTTCTTGCTCTTCCTCCTCTTCTTGCTTCTCTACATCTTCCTCTTCTTTTTCATCCTCTACCTCCTTTTCCTTCTCCATCACTTCTGCCTTGTCGTGTTCCTTTTCCTCTACCTCATCCCCCCTTTTTCCTTTCTCCTCCCGCTTGTTCTCTTTCTCACATTCCTCCTCTTTCTTCTCCTTTTCAATCTCTGGTTCTTCCTCCACACATGCCTCGTCTTCCTCTTCTTCTTCCTTTGCAGGTTCTTCTTCTTCTCCTTCAGTCGTCTCCTCCTCCACCACTTTTCTTGTCCTCTCTTCCTCCTCTTCTCTTACATCCACTTCTGTTTCTTTCTCCATGTCAATGCGTCCATCTTTTTCTCCTCCTTGCAGATCCTCCTGTTCTTTCTCTTCTTCCTCTCTCCAGTCTTCAGACTCTTGATCTTCTCCATCATTTTCCACCTTCCCTCCTTTCTCGTCCTCCATCATCATTTTTTCTTCGTCATTTTCTTGGACACTTTTTACCGTCTCGTCCTCGTCCATTGCTTCATCACTGTCGGGACTTTTCCTTCCTCTGACTTCAGACAACATCGGCTCCATCGTGTCCTCTAACGACAGGATGTCTCCGAACAGCCCGACCGCCTGAAGGACCCGAGACACGATGGAGTTGTCCTCCGGGTCCAGACTGTCCGGCATGTCTGCGGACATCCACCAGCTCGCCATCGTTTGTCGAACGCCTCAAACAGAGTGAAGGGAATAAACCTGAGTGTTATGAAAAGCCTCCACACTCTCAGAGGAGGATTTCATTCACGCAGCACACGTCAGTCCACAGTCTGCTGACCCGGAGGCCACGTTTTCAGCCTCATGCTTCGTGAACACACTCGGGTTTGTAGTGCTTTAATCTCTCCGGTAATAAAAGTAACCTTCATGTTTCAAAGCTCAAGTTTGAAAATGCTCCACACAAGACAGCAAGTTAAAACCAACAGATGATAAAATCATTAGAGTTCATGATAGAACAAATGCCTTATAATAATAATAATAATAATAATAAGAATATATATTATAAAAAACAAATGTCTCTGTTACCATGTTTCTGTTTGTCTCTGGATTAAAGTGAATATACAACAGCCTGTAGATCAACATTCCCTCATGGTTTATCCCCCTGCGGTATGTAAAGCTTCGCTATAAGACATGATGAGGGCCACGGTCTCACGTGTTTTGGCATTATGTCAACATGTCCCATCATGGCTGCAGTACACAGCTTCACCCTGTGACACCTGTGCTCAGGTGAACACCAGGAACAGTTAAAGATAAGGTTGAAAAACAACACTTAAGATTTGATAGAAGTAAATCTTAGTATTTATACATATCTGAAGATATCACAAGCAGTACTTGTTCTGTCCACTAGAGGGAGCTGCAGCGTGAGAAATACAGTCAGTGCACTCTCAAGACAAATCTCCTTTCTACAATCAAAACAAGAAATCCTCTTCCCTCAATGTACAAGGAAAAACTTTAACCTCAAAGTTAAATTACATAACAAATTGTTTCCACGGAGCCTCCAGCTGTTTGTTTATTGTAGCCAGTTTAATGTATGTATCGTGTTTATGTCATGTGACGTACAGATGGAGTCGTGGCTTCATGTTTTCTTGTGCATGTAAAGTAGGAAACAAGAAAGATTCATTTTAAATCAATTTTCTACTTCGTCAACTCTATTTTAAACATATATAAATTATAATATAACAGAAGGAACTGTGTCAATCAGATAAAGGTTATGTGACAGAAATATAAGCTACATAGCAATGTTATATAACTGATAAAGATATTTTATTTCTGCATCATCACTTCTTCTTCTTCAGTTTGTTGTTGTACATTGTGAGTTTGTGTTATTGTGTGTTAAGGTGTGATTTTGTTTGTTTGTTTCTGTTTTGATGAAGCTAATAAATTAAAAACCAAATCACCAACTCGTCATTTATCAGAATATTTATTGCAATAATAAAATAATAGAACAGTACAAATAGGATTTTCTTTCATCATCTCGTATGAAAATACATTTCATAGTGTATTTCATGATGAGTTACATTCAACAATGGTGCAACTGAGAACTTATTAATATGAATACAGGCTCTGAACATTCATTGTAGTTATACTGTGATGCATGATGAGCAGGTAAAGGTGCGTATTTCCCTACAGATGTAAATACTTGTAAATACAGATGTTCACAATTTGAAAAAAATGAGTTTCTCTCATGACATTCAGATAAAACTGGCTGCAGCAGAAACCTCCCTGCATCAGGTGTTTTCTAAGATTCACTCCGACCGTGTGACTTTGCGTCTTGCTGTGCTCTCCAAGCGGCGAGCACCTCGTCGTCCTCGGCCTCCGCCGCCGCCCGAGCTCTGATCCTCTGCCTGGTTTGGGCGATGAAGGTGGCGATATCCTCCTCCTCCTCGTCTGCATTGGCCACCGCCCTTCGATCGCTCCTCCCTTCTGTCCCGCTGCTCTCATATCGTGAATGGTGACCGAACTTCCTCTTGGTGGAGAAGTCGCTGTAGCTCTCCGCCCCCTCGTCGCTGTCGTTGGACGCCCCGTACGCCCTCCTCGCCTGGCTGTAGCTGTGGGACTGCGTGAACCCGTTGCAGGAATATTCTGCGTCTTCACTCGACAGATCCTCACGTAACCTTGATCTGTACCTGGAGCCGTACATTTCCTCGTCTTCCTCGCCGGCAGCATAGGACGCCCTGCGGCTCGAGAAATCAAATTCAGAAGCAGAGGCATCGAGATCATCGTAGGGATCCTCTGACGGACCGGCGTCCATCTTCCTTTGAGGAGGCCGGACGCTTTCCAGCCAGTCGTCGACGCTGGTGTTCTTGTCTTTCTCCAGGGCTGGGTTGAGATTCAGGCACCCAGAGAGACCGTAACTCCTCTTAGGTTTCTCCTTTTTCTTTGTCTCTGCAAGAAACTCCTCCTCTTTCTTCTTTCTCTCCTCCTCCTCATCTTCATCCTCCTTCGGTTTCTTTTTCTTGTACATAGTGCTGCGCTTGTTGTCCTCCAAGATCTTCTTCTTTTCGTAGGTAGCCATCTTGTCTCTCATCCCAGACTTGATCTCCTTGTCCATGGCATCCAGTTTGCCCAGGTTGACCTGGTCTTGGAAGAGGCTGAAGAGGGGGACGCTGGTGGTGGTGATCTTGTTTTTCTTGGAGCCCAGGGTGGAGCCCAGGGTGGAGCCCAGGGTGGAGCCCAGTGCCGAACCTCTACCACTGAGACCTGAGATGCTGCTGGACCCGCCACCTGAGAGGACTGATGCTGCCCTGCCACGACCCTGGGACAGAGCGCTGGAGTAGGAGGCGCCGCTCAACAAGGACGCTCGGTCATCTTCCACTCCCCTGCCAGAAACCACACTTCCTGCACCGCCATAGCTAAACTCAGATCCTGCGCGTGACGGAGGAGGCAGACTCATCTCGTCCTGCTTCTGTTTGATCGTTTCAGAGACGACGTTCGCGATCCAGTTCTGGATGCTGGCCAGATTGACCATCGGCTCGCCTCCTGGGCCCTGGACGGTGGGCACCGGGAGGATGGGAGGAACCGGGGACACGGGATTGAGTGGAACTGCAGATTGTGCTGATCTTGTGCTACGAGGTTGTGAAACCGAGGATATGACGGACGACCTGCCGCTGAGCATGGACATGTTGTCATCGTTGGCGACGCTCGGTGGGCCGGCAACCCCGGCTCCAGCCCAGAAGGCGGAGAGAGGTATCGTACCTCCGCTGACGCAGCTCTCCGCCTCCCAGCCACACATGGACTGACTTTCTTCTAAGGTTTTCTTTGAACGCTCCAGAATCTCCTCGCGTCGTTGCCTCCTTTTGACCGTGGCCGAGTCCTCGCCTCGACTCATCTCTAAAATCTCGCTCGTGTTCTCTTCCCCGAGACGCTTCTGCTGCCTCAGCTTCCACGACTGGTACGCCGTCAGGTTGACATCTTGGAAAGATGGTGTCTTTGCTTCTCCCTCGCCCTCACCTTTCTCTCCCTCTGCTACAGAACTCTTCTCTCCATCCTCTCGATCTTTCTTGTTCCAGCCAAACTGAATCCGCTTGACGCGCCAACGCTCCAGTGGCGTCATCTTCTCCTTGTTTTTCTGGCAGAAGTTGTACATGGAGCTGGTGTCGGAGAGGATACTCTCCACTTCCTCATCGATGTTCTTCTTCCCTCCCTCTGTGGCGGTGCTCTCGCTGCCTTCGTCGTCCTCTTTCTTGCGGTAGCGAGCGGCGGCTTGTTCCTCGATTTCCTTCAGCCGCTGTTTCCAGAGGTCAGAGTAGCTCGTGCAGCTGGAGGTGGACATGGCGTCTGAAGGTGGGCGTCTGTTGCGACGCTTCAGCCGCTCTTTCACAGCTCGTACGTCCTCGCTGGTGACGCTCTCCACATCTGCATCTACGCCTTCCGCCATCTTCTTTGATTGGCCGCCCGCAAGAGACTCCTCCTCCTCCCCGTCACTGTTGAGCTGCGCCTCCCACCACTCCTCACTTTGGTATTTCTCATTTCTCCTCTGCCAGTCGCGGATCATACCGTCAAGCCCCTCCTCCTCGTCCTCCTTGCCCTCGCCCTCAGGTAGGACAATCTCCTCTTGAGCAGCGGTTGATCCCTGGCCGCCCGGCCCGTTCTGCGCACCAATCAATCCACTCCTGAGCGCCGCGGCGGCTGCAGAGGAAGCAACGCTGCTCATCACACTTTCGCCATCCTCCTCCTCCTCCATCATGATGGACTGAGCTTTTACCCCGATCATACTCTGCTCTTCCTCTTTATCAGTATCATCATCGTCATCTCCGTCTTCGTTGAAGATGCGAGCGCGGGTGCGAGCGTCGATCACAGAGCACTGGCTGAGTGTTTCGTCGTCGTCGTCGCGCTCCTCCATCAGGTTCTCGTTGAGCTCTCGCAGCTGCTTCAGGAAGCCTTCGTTGGGGTTGATGGCGCGCTTCTTCCTCATGGAAGTCAGGGCCTCCATGATGCTCATGTGTTGGAAAATCATCAGGTAGGACGCCACCAGGACAGCAGAGCGACTGACGCCCATCATGGAAACCACAAGAACCTTTCCTGAAAGCAAAGAAAAATGGTGATTACAGCTCGACTGAAAACGGCTTTTAAGGCGAAAACTGAAATATTTTAGAGTTTCTAATCACATGTCATTTATTATCTGTTTATACAGCAGCATCGTAGTTCGTTTTGATGTCCTCGTTTTTAATGTCAAAAACTAAAATTCAAGATTTCTGCCTGAAGCATTTTTTCGTCAGGATCATTTCAGGATGAATATTTTTTACTGAAAAGCAAAAGTCCAAGAGCTAAAAACAGACGGAGTGATGGTGTTTGGCCTGGAAGGCGCTGAGAGCTGCAGTTGTTTCTGCTGACGTCTCCGTGAATCAGCTGCAGTTACAAAGAATAAGAGACAGTGACTGTAACGAGTCGCTCTTCCAGGAACATAGAAGTTCTCTGTATGTCCATGAAACACTTCTCAGAAACTGGGAAATCACTGAGACGTTTCCGGTGAGCTGTTTGTGATCTTTCACTGCGTCACTGCCGACCCCCGCCCAGGGACACACTGATAATAAGTCTGCTTTTGGCTAAATCTGGTGAAACAGAGGTATTGTGTATCGTCCCATGTTAAGTAAATAATGAAAGAAAGAAAGAAAGAAAAAAACTCTGGGAATCTCAGAACAACAACAAATCCGTTCTCTGTTGTCGAGTTGTTTTTAAACATTAGAAAATTGAGGTTAAAGCAGTTAATGAAATAAAACCATGAGGTTTAGAGGGAAAATGTCTGAACTCACAGACGTATGAAACATGAGACAACTACACCAGTTTATCCTGTGGAGTTGCTTTAAAACCACTTTATTAAATTATAAAGCAGTGAAAAAGATGAAACTCATCATCATCATCATCATCATCATCATCATTACCTCTGTGCGTCAGCAGAGCCTCGTCCAGGAACTCGGCGGTGGATCTGAAGTGCACTGAGATGTCGGCGTCGGGGAAGTCGTCCACCTCGATGCCCATGTACTGGATGTTCATTCCGGCGTAGAAGGACTCGCCCGTGTACACCCCTGTGCCGTGGGCGGTGTTAAGGATGTGGGTGATGCCCATTCGCTTCAGACGAGCCTTGTTGACCGCGACTGATCTGAGGAAGAAAACAGACTCGTAACTCCCCCACAAAAAAACACTGATTGTTCCAAGAGAAGGAAAGAAAACAAGGTTGTTTTGACTTTTGTAAGACGCGGCTTCCGAGTGGAGACTCACTTCTCTGCGATGAAGATGTTGGAAAACACCTCGTCCACTGGGTTGACGGGAGCCTCCAGGCGGTCCTGCACCATGGCCCTCTGGATGTCCAGCACGCAGGGGGTGTTGTAGGGGCTGCGGTCGTCGATCATGTCCCTGACCCGGTTGTAGAGATCCTCCACCATCAGCTGCTCGGCGGTTTCCAACATGGACTCCGGGACGGACTCGGCACGCACGCTTCGAGGCGGCAGCTCTGAGGACAGACACCGTGACCAACTCGTGAGGGAGGGTTATAACTGAAACCAGGCAGTGGTGGAGCCGTACACAAGCCAGCTCTGGCCCGTATCCGGCTCGGCGTCAGGGGTGCAAACCAGGACCAAAAACTACAGTGGGCCAGATCTGGGCCGGTGTCAGAACCCAGAATCAAACCAGTGTGCACTCAAGCCAACAGTAGAGTCACATTCATTTACGACTTCCAGGGGAGTTGATCAAAAAAAATATAGATGATCTTTGTTGTCATGGTTACAATAACAACCAAGAACGGTCCCGGATAATAGAAACAATGTAAACTGCTATATTCACATGGGAATCGAACACCGCTCTTTCCTGTCGTAATTACTACGACCACTACATGTCGCCTAGCAACAACACCTAACGATGGGTGATAATAACCTGCAGCACAGACGACCCGTGGGCTCGTTTCTGTACAGTAAGCAGTTAGCTTAGGTTAGCTTAGGTTAGCTTAGGTCAGCTATAAGACTGGAAACCAATGGAAACAGCGAACATGTCTGTGTCCACAGGAAACAATCCACCTAACCACATCTTTGTTTATTTATGTTAGTCTTAAAAAGTGACCCTTCATTAAGATGTTTGTTTTTCTTTTTGTTAAAGATGTTTTTGCTTCTGTGTCTTCTGCTGGAAAAATCAGTGTCTGCATCACAGCGCTGAGATTGATCCTCCCTGGTCTAACTGTTACCTGAGGCCCGACTCAGAGCTCGGAGCACTGACAGCAGAGGAAGGTCTCCAGATCCATAATGGAGCCTGTGCCATCAGTGAACGTACAGTATGTGAAGGGTTTTATTCTCCAGTAGCAGGTACCGTCTGTTCAGAACAGATCTGATTTCTCTGAGCTACATGAGGAGCACAGCTTCACAAGCGGCACCTCATCAATGCAGACATCGCTGTAATCATCAGAGACCATCGTTCTCCCTCCAGATGAAACATGTATTGTCCATTAAGCAGCCGCTGATGTAATGAAATACCAGCGGAGACGTCTGAAACAGGAGCTGCTCTCTGGTGTGTCAGGCTAATTTCCCCAATCAGCGCCACGCCGCTCCTCCAACGGGCAGCGTCTCCATCTGCTAACGAGCCGCAGGAATGAGACATGACTTCACTGGAACCGAAGACAATTGGACCAAATTATAGTTGCTGAACCAGGACGTGGAAATCATGTTTCCAATGGCTGCATTAGTATGAGGAGTGAAGAGCTCTTCAGATAAACTGTGTGGAGTTTGGCCCTGTCCAACATTTCAGACTGAACCTCAGATTCAGATTCAGATTCTTATTTTGGATCAAATATTTACTGATATGATCTGAGAGCAACACGTCCTCCAGCTCCTAATGAAGCCTGAACTCCAGGACTCTGCTTGACTTTAATGGTGCAGTTATAGAAAGAATCTGTGATGAAGTGACAGTGAGCCGTTGATCAGCAGCTGATCAATACTAAAGGATGAAAAGTAATGTCATGTTTTCTGCAGCACAGTTTTTCCCGCTCGTTTGTCTCACCCTCGTTGATGATCTTCTTGGCGGCGATGGCTGAGGAGAGGTGGATGGGCTCCATGAAGATGCTCGCGGCGTCAGAGCCTGAGATCATGGAAAACCTGGACTCAGATACCTTGGAGAAACTGAGAGAGAGAGAGAGAGAGAGAGATGATGATGATGATGCACAGCCCCTTATTGATTTTATCTTATTGAAATAAAATGTTCACAGTTTATCTGGATGAACATCTTCAAGTTTTTAAATTCATCGGATGAAATGTGCGTCACGTTTCTTTCCCCGTGGCGTGCTGTTGGAGCGAGTTAAGGTGCTCTCCTACCTGGGGGAGGGGCAGCGGAGGTAATGAGACTGGACTCCTCTGATGCTCCTCTCCTCCTCGTCTCCGTCGGGAACCGTCTGATCCGCGTGCTCCCCGTTCTCACTGGCCGACGCCATGGCAACAACAATCCCGCCTCCCTGCTAGTGAGACTGGTTCCCTCTGTCCAAACACACAAACATGACTGTCTCAGATTCCTCCTTTATCCTGAGAATAAAAACCAACACTGCACCTTGCACTTCTGAATTTATCTACATTGATTAATGAATTTATTTATCTATAAACTTCTTAATCGGGTCAGTTGGAACCTGAACTCATGAAGAGACGAGCTGGAGTTAATCACAGCTGCTCTGTAGCAGATAACTGAGGCTGGGAAGAAGAAACTAACAACAGAAAGTGTCTCCGTCATGTTCTGAGTGATGGAGCTTCAGCATTTATTTTCAGGCTTTGGTGGGAAACAGAACAGAGGAGTGACGAGCTCCTTCACAATGTGTGTGACTTATAATTCAAGCATCACCGTGTCACTCAGAGAGAGGACACGCGTGAGCTCTGTGGACCTCAGCGTGAGACATGATCCCGAAAAAGACAACATGTCTTCAGATAAAAGGACGGTTTGATGAAAGACGTGGAGACGCAGATCAATCACGTCACTGTCAGAGATTTCTGCTCCTGTCCCACATTTCAAAACCACCGACAAATTAAAGGATTTCTAGGATTTAAAAGAGAAAAACCTACAAGGTTTTCAAAATTATGTTGCTGTATCAGTGTGAAGAGTGTGTGTGTGTGTGTGATATGAGGCCTTCCAGTGGGTCTATATTTAGCTGAAGTGACAGCTGCCTCAGAGCTCGTCAGGCCTGAGAGCAGCAGCTCAAAGGCCGAACAGCTTCAAGCTTTAAACAACACGAATCAGGAGTGTGAAACCTCACACACACTCACACACACACTCACACACACACACACACACTCTGGCTCTCCTTCATATAAAATCATTCATCTGTGTGTGTGTGTGTGTGTGTTTTCTTACCTCTGTTCAGGCGGCGGTCGCTCACACTGGAGGTCGTCTGGTCTGAGGCTGATGGCGGCCGGACTGACACAGGCTCCTAAAGTTAGAGAGTCTCCCCCCCTCTCTGAGTCCTCCCCCGCCTCCCCCGCCTCCCCCACCAGGCCTGTGGAGGCCCTGACACCCGACACCACAGCTTCAGGTAACCGAGGACTTTCACTTGAGTAAAAGACTTCAGCGGTTTTTACACTTTTTATTTTTTCTACTTTTCACTCGTCTGCGTTTATCTGCCAGATTCAGATTTTAATGTTAATGTTAATCATTATCATCACACATTTGCTAATTTCTTATTTTTTTCTTGCCTTTGTCGTTTCCTCTTTTCTTACTTCTTCCATTCTTTTATTTTAGTTTTTATTCTGTGCCTGATTTCTCTCCTTTCATTCAGTGTTTTCTTCTTCAGATCCTGCCTGTGTTTATCTCCAGTCAGCTGATTATCCTCTATTTATAACAGCAGAATGCAGCTAATTTAAGTCACACGCTCTCTCTCCCTCGAACCCACCGCTATGAGCTCATCTCGTGTGTTGTTCATTTGTAATTTAAGACTAATTAAATGGATCCATGAGTTTTTGTTTTTTTTTTAAAGTGGAGACAAATTATTTTATATTTCTGAATATTTCCAGCAGAAAAGTAAAACCTGTGAAACAACATTTAAACCTCTTATTTTCCCTCTTTTTATTCCCAGAGTTCATTCTTTTATATTTTATTTATATTCATATTATATTTATTCTTATATATTTTTAAAATTATAGTAATTCTGTTGGATGAAAGAAGTCGTGTCAGTGAAGTGGTCTTAGCGAGCTAACGCAGCTAGCCTAGCTAGCCTAGCTAAACATTCCCACTTCTGTATGAAAGCAGATGTTTCCATTTGTAAATCATCATCAGCATCAAAAACATTCACCACAACTGTGAATCCCGTTCGTATGAAATAACTCGGCGTAAGAAAAATAAATTCTGGAGCGAATCACAACGGGTTACATTTTATTTTCCACATTCCAGAACAGAACAGAAGAATCTATAATATTGAGTTAATCTGAAGCTCAGATGAACAAACCTCTTGTGAAGGTGACGGAGAGACGGTTAAGTTAAAAACAAAATGTCAACGGTCGACCGTTAGCACGAGACCGACACACAAACCTTTCACAGCTCAATATAAAAGTCACGACTTCTCTGCTGCGTCTCTGCTTCCTGGTAGAAATGATAAACCCTGCACACACTCAGCTGCCGTTTCACTTTTTATTGCATTGAAGAGAAATGTGAAGAAGAAAGTTCTTCAGTTCCATGTTGAACTGAAACGTCGTCTAGTGGCTTGTGTCACAGTAAAAAGGTGAAAAACAACATGATGTGCATAAACTCTAGGTCTTTACTCATCAATCCATGTTCCTGGTATAAAACGTGTCCAAGGCCGTGGGGGGGGGGGGGGGGGGGGGGGGGGTGGCACGTTGAGCCGTCTGCTGAGATTTCAACACAACAGAGGAATAAGCAAACAGACACTGACTGCTGTGTGAAAAGAAAAAAAAGGCACATGGAGGCACAAAAAGATCACAGCACGACATCTACCTGCAACAGCAACCAGGAGAACACAGTGTCAGCACAGCGTCTGTGCTGGGTGACCCCCGGGGTCAGAGGTGAGGAGGGGGGGGGGTGGTGCTTTATACTCAGTGGTCCAACTTCTGTCAAGTCAATCAGGCTCAGTGTCCCTGACGAGCACCTTAATCCCTCCGACAACAGCTGATGGTGAAACCGACTGATCCAGCTGCGTTCGCTCGTCTTTGGTGCTCGGCGGCGTCGGTTTCGTACGTCTGGTACGTTTGGCACTCTTCGCCAACGGTTTACCACCGCGAAGACGGACTAAAGCAACAGGGCAGAACACCTCAGTGACGGCGGGGACGTGCAAGCACTAAGACGTCCTCATCGGTTTGTGGTCGCCGGCGTCCACCGGGGCACGTCGGAGTGGGATGTGAGGTAGCTGCGATCAGGGTCAGGAGCGCCATTAAACTTTCCCCTTCAAGGTTGGAAGCAATTTGACGCCCCAAGTCCCGGAGCTCATCTCTCTGCAGGTCTCCTCAGTGAACTCTCATCACCTGGCACCAAAGACCAGCCCACAGCTGACGGTCACACCCATTGTGATTCTGATTAATCCTTCTCTTCCCGCCGCCTCGTCTTCACCAACGCCCAATGAATCCCGGGACAGGAGGAGGAGGAGCTTTGAGTTTGTCGTCCGTGTGGTTGGTGTCAGTGGGAACACTGGTTCTTCTTCGCTGTCAGCAACACTACCTGAGGTCTGTCATTCAGCATCTCTACAGTAAACTCAGCACGTTCTGTAATATTGTCACGTTTGTCCGACGGGACGAAAGAAATGCACCGTACGAAAAATACATCAGACTGTGTGAGCTGTGGTGGGAGGGGGCGGGGCTTATTCTGAACCCAACTCTTCGTACCAGTGGATCAGACAAACGAACCAACTGTGCATTTCATGACTGAAGCACCGACGTTTCAGCATTTCTTTTACATTTGATTTCAGACGCGGAGGCCGTTTGTATCTGACCTCTAGTGACCTCGGGAGGTCACCGTCCTGTACATCTTTACCAAAAATTGCATTTCTGTTCTAATAAAGATGATTTTTTTGCTGCTGGTTAAGGTAGCTTTAGCTCATTAACAACAGCGACATCTTCTGCTGCGTGTTCTGTGGAATTACGTGACTAGCTAGCACGTTAGCGATCATCCTAATCAGAAGCTAACATGCTAGTTAGCTCTGGACCACACTCACGTCTGAAAATGAACTTCCTGGTTTATAGAAAGTTTCATGCTTTAGTCATAAAATGCTCAATCACCTTCATAAAGAAGCTCATCTGAGTCAACTGAGTCTACTGAGGGGAACAGAATGAGTCACGCGTGGATTAATACTCATTAATACTCACTGATGATCTAATGCTCCTTTAACGAGCGGGGACTCGTACGCACCACCACACATGTAATAAAGTCCATATACCAGCTGGAACATGGTGATATGAACACGACATAAAAACCGAACCTGCTTTGTTTGTTCAGCTTGTGTTTGTAGAGTCAGTGCATTCACGACAGCAGGACGGCCACAGGTAGTTCAACAAAAGGTGACTGATTCCAACTCTCTAAACTCCGACCTGAAGCCACCCGAGCGCTCGACATCGAACGCACCTGCGCTTCTTATTTCTGTTTCCTGAGAAAGACGTTCGACCCTGGATGTGAAGCTCTGCGGTTTGGGAGAAGCAGCGTGTTTTAATGTGTCTTTTATATAAATCTGCATGAGGCGACTGCATTCTCTTCAAGTTTGACCGACTTCACGGAGAACGCTTGTTTACAGAAATGTGGTTTTGAATTCTGATTCCTGCATTTTTATTGTCTTTGCTGTTGTTGTGCCTTTGACCAAACTGTGCAGAGCGCTTCGGTCAACTGGTGCTTTATAAAGAAACCTGATTCGTTTGAATTCCTTCACCTGAAACTGGATTTTTACATGAAAATCTTTCCCCCTGCAGCTTTACCAACCACAGGTTTGGTCCCCAAAGCACGACTGCACCTGGACAGGTGACCACAGCTGCAAAAACAGAGACAAGCCGAGGTCAAGAGGAACTTTTGCAAAGGAAAACGTGTCGGTCACCGAAACACAAACGCTTTGTTATTGCACCAGAAACAGTGTTTTGTAGTTTGCAATGTTTTTTTTTTGTTTTCCAGGCGCGTCTGAAGATTTCAGGTTCATCAGACTCTCACTTCACACGTGGCAACAGTTTCCATGTTTCAGCATATTCAGCAGTTTTCAAAGTACTTGTGTTTGTGGATGTGCTTCCTGTCGTTTAGCCCTTGTTGTCGACGGTAACAGGAAGCAGAGGGACGGCGGCTTCGCTCCTCTCAGCCTCGTCGCCATCTTTCGGCTCTTTCATCACATTCTTCCTGGCTTGGTAGTCGGCCAGTTTCTTCTTCTTCTCCTCTTTCTCAGCTGCGTCGAAATCCACACTCGCTGGCGGCGGGAACTCCCGGCAGTACGGCGGCGGCAGGCACGGCACCAGATGCACCTCGCCGCTTTCATTCATGAGCTGGACGCAGGTGTAGAAATCCTGCGGCGAGCGACTGGTGGTGACGGCGGTGGCATCGGGAGCAGGGACAGAGTTAGGATGTCCCATCACGCTGTAGTCCGTCCCCGGCAGCGACATGATCTCGGGCCTCGGCCACAGCGTGGGCACGTCCAGCGACGGGGCGAAGGCCTCGGGAGGCGAGGGGCGGTAGGGCGACATGCTCTGTACGTACGACATCGGGTTTGTGGCTGTAAGCTGATGGTGGGCGGCCACAGGCGCCAGGTCACATGGGACCATCAACGCGTCCTTCTCTCTGTCCGTGGGGTCGGCCGGGACGCCGCAGTCCTTCGGCGTAGAGCGATACACGTTGTCGGCGCTGACCTGGTCCCAGACTTCCTCGGTGTAGCTCGGAGGTCTGTAGCTGTGGAAGTTACTGAAGTGACGGTTGATTTCATCCAGGTTCCCCTTCTGAAGTGAAGTGAGAGGTGCAAGGGAGGGAAAGAGAGAAGGATGAAGGAGAATAAAAGAAACGAGAGAAAGATGGAAGAAACAGGAGAAGAGGTGATGTGAGAGGAAAAGAAGACAAGTGATGAAGCAGGGAAGAAGGAAGAGAGAGAGGGATGGGGAATAAGAAGACAAGGAAAAATTAAGGTAAGGGGGAAAAACAGAGGAGGAGGTGAAAAAGAGACAATGAACGGTTTGGAGGGAAAAGCAGAGGAAGGATGGAAGAGGTGGAGGAAGTGGACAAAAAGCAAACATAAAGTGAAGGAAGAGGAGAATTAAATGAACAACGAGGAGACGAGGATGGAGGTTAAGAAAGAAATAAAGGTATAATGTGAAGAAAAGGGAGGAGGAGGAGGAGGAGGCCAAAGGGTTAATTGGAAAAGAAGCAAGAGAAAGGAAAAAGAGAGAGAGAGCAGACAACGAGCAGAGGATGATGGGAAATAAAGAAAAGGAAATACAAGGTCAGTGGAAATAGTCATAATAGCTCTGTGTGTGTGTGTGTGCATTCATACGACACACACACACACACACACACACACACCAGAAGATGCAGTCAAATAAACAGTGTCAGACTTCAGAGTAAAACAAACGGCTGGTTGCTATGCTACGTTGCCACGTTTCGCATCATAAAACAAAATAAAGTGAAATAAGGAACTTCCTGCGTTACCTTCAGGAGCAGCGAGTCGATGCCGATGATCCGCGGCTTGGGGATGGGCGGCAGGAAGTACTCTTTAATTCTAGGGTGAAAACAGAAAGAGAGACCGTTCATGCACCGACCACGTCAACACACTGCACGTGACATCGCACTGAATCCTGGGAAACCACAGAATGAAACATGCTGAACGTGCAAATTAGAAAAAAAGAGAAAGAAATCAAAACTTCTGTCCAGGAAATCATGTTGACAGATCCACTGAAGGGCTGAACAATCAATTATTAAAGTTTCTTGTTTGTTTTCTCTGTTTGGTATTTTATACACGTTTTCACTTATTTATTTTATTTTATTCCTTTTCTTGTTGGATTCCTCTAATTTACTTCACTGGTGCTAAATTGTTTCCATATTATCTATTTTGAATTATCAGATCCATTATTTTTGTTTGCAACAGTGTGTGTGTGTGTGTGTGTGTGTGTTCGTACCTCTTGCTCTGTGGAATGACACCAAAGGCGATGACGAGCAGAGCCACGACACCGACCCCCGTCACCAGGATCAGCACCAGGAGTTTACCTGCACACGTTCAACCAGAGGATATCTCATTAGAGTCACCGCCCCCCCCTACAGTAAATTACAGTAATTAGAGAACTAATTGCTGCTGCATCCTTGTTGTCACGGAAACCCTGAGTGTGGGCGTACCTGCTGGCGGTCTGGTGATGCTCATCAACAGTGTGGCGCTCCACTTGCTCCACAGGCCGTAGTTGTGCGACCGGCAGCGAACTCTGATCACGTAGTCGCCGAAGGGAAGGCCGAGCAGCTCCACGTGAGGCTCCCGCAGCGGGTGCTTCACCTGCCGACGGCAAACACAACCCGTTAGACACACTCAGCCCGGCGAGCGCTTTATTAGGAACACCTGGTGTAGCTGTGTGTTCGCCGCACCTTCCAGCTGTCGGGCTTGGTGACGCGTCGGTACTGCAGCTCGTACACCAGCGTGATCCAGCCGTACTGCAGGTCGGAGGGCACCGGGTACGTCCAGGACAGCAGCGCGTTGTGGCCCAGCTCGTCCCCGCCGGGGTCCGTCAGCGTGTAGGTCAGGTTGACCGGAGCTTCAGTCTGAACTGTGGACGACACACACACACACACACACACACACACACACAGGTTGTGAATGTCAAACACATGTCAGAGGAGGGAAAAGAAAAAAGGCTCCAGTGCGTCGGGTGGTTAGAGACGGCTCCAGCTCCAGGCTCACGACTTTAATCAGCATTTCAACATTTTCCGGCCCAGAATGCACCGGCACTAATCCCGCAGTCATATGCTCGCAATAAATCATCCACTGTGGACGAGCGTGGGGACTCGTCTGTGAATATGTTCTCTGTCATCATGCTGAATCACGCATGAGTCACATATGTAAAGACTCGAGAGCTTCACACGGATCAAATAACTGAGATGAAATCTTCTGAGAAAACGTCTGTGACCTCCTGCAGCTCGTTCATTACGACAACAGCCGCACTCCAGGGTCAGAGGTCAACACCGAGAACGCAAGATTTCTTTTTGTCTTTCACTCACATCCAGTCACTTACAACACAGATGAAATTCACATCATGTCTTTGATGCTGGAACTGAACTAACGACTCTGACGCTGTTTCTAATGATGTGATCATTCATCCGTATCTGAGTGTGACACATGATTCACTGCAGAGCATCAGGCCGCAGTTTGACACTTAAAGTTACGCATTCAAATACTTACGTCATGTATTGTCCTGATCTCCACAGAACACAATCAATCAATCAATCAATCAATCATTTAAGACAATTATTTCTATTACATTTCACAGGCTGAACAATAAATCAATTAATAAAAATAAAAACATGCAGATGAATGTCACATCAGCAGCATGACATCAGAGTGAAGACAGCGCTCAGTTACGCTCCTGTTCTGTATCTGCAGCCGTGGGTTTGATTCCCTGCAGGGCCGTGATAAGAGCGACGCCCCCTGACCTCTGCTCTCCGAGACCAACAAAAAGATCGCAAAGATAGTCACAAGGACCCACATGCGAGGCTGTTACACACATGTCAGCGCTGATAGATCACACACGTCTGCCGTTTCACATGACGCAGAGCAGAGCGGCGTCTCACACGCGCTCAGGACGCGGATCATCCAGATAATAACAGACATCCTGTCCCCAATAAACCACGTTAACTCAACCATCACAATCTCCTCCAAAATAAGAGCTTTTCAATGTATGCATGCATCTCTATAAAGATGTACATATAAAGAAGAGATGAATTCGTTTCACAGCAGGTCATATGTTCCTGATGATTAATTCCACACAATAACGCAGCTGCTCATAATGTTTTTAATTAAACTGCAGGCTCATATAGCAGCATGTCTCTCAGCTCACTCACATCACAAACGAAGCTTTTCCTCGTCTTCTTCACGTGGATGAAACGCGACCCCACCCGCAGATATTTCATTTTACAGACTTCCTTTTCTTCACAGGCTTTTATTGTGAAAAAAATATGCGTCAGGTGGTTGAATTTTATTGACTGGAGTTAATTAGTGAAGAGAAAAATAAGAGCGGGCCGTGTTAAAGCTTTTTTTGATGTTTGTTTTTAGCCTCAGTTTGTTTATTAAAAGTTTGATGTCATTAAAAGTGGCTGACGTAGTTCTGAGCAGCTCCTGTTTGAAACGCAGCCATGCACCTACAGACAACCAACACTGTGTTCCTGTGACACTGAAGAAAAGTTAAAAACGTAGAGATTCTCAGGCAGCTTCTGCAGCTTGTTTCCCCATTAATTCTAATAATAGGGTTTATTCTGGAGCTTTATTCTGGAGGTTTATTGTGGAGGTTTATTCTGAAGGTTTATTCTGGAGGTTTATTGTGGAGCTTTATTCTGGAGGTTTATTCTGGAGGTTTATTGTGGAGGTTTATTGTGGAGGTTTATTCTGGAGGTTTATTGTGGAGCTTTATTCTGGAGGTTTATTGTGGAGCTTTATTCTGGAGGTTTATTGTGGAGGTTTATTGTGGAGGTTTATTCTGAAGGTTAGGGTTAGGGACATCAGAAAGGGATCTGCTCAGGAAGTGGAAGTCACACTGAATCATATCAGCATGTCTGCTTCTTCACGTCTGACTGAGATATAACTCTAACAGTGAATATCTCAACATAATATATCCTGATATATAAATTCTGTCACGTCATCCGGCCTAATATGGATTTAAATTAAAACCAGCCAGGCCTGAAGGCATCTGACATGTTCACAGTCTTTATTCTACGCCTGATCAATCAGGAGGAGCTGGGTGCTCTGCTGTTTGACCGAGCAGCAGCCGCAGCAGCCGCAGCAGCAGCAGCAGCAGCATCAGCAGCAGCAGCAGCAGCAGCAGCAGCAGCAGCAGCAGCAGCAGCAGCAGCAGCAGCAGCCGCAGCAGCAGCAGCAGCAGCAGCAGCAGCAGGCGCAGCAGCAGCAGCAGCAGCAGCAGCAGCCGCAGCAGCAAGCAGCAGCCCGCAAGCAGCGCAGCAGCAAGCAGCAGCAGCCAGCAGCAGCAGCAGCAGCCGCCCAGCAGCACAGCAGCAGCCAAGCAGCAGCAGCAGCCGCAGCTAGCAGGCAGCAGCAAGCAGCAGCAGCAGCAGACGCAGCAGCAGAGCAGCAGCAGCAGCAAGCGCAGCGCGAGCAGCAGAGCGCGCAGCAGCGCAGCAGCCCAGCAGCAGCAGCAGCAGCCGGCAGCAGCAGCAGGCAGCAGCAGCAGCAGCAGCAGCAGCAGCCGCAGAGTTTTCAAACCTTTTTCTGGCGACACCACAACCACAGCTTTAGTTCCTGTCTGATTTTCAGACAGAAACAGTGACCCCGTTCATTTCACCCCCTTTTCTCATATTTATGAAATCTGCAGCTAAAAGCTGATCACACCAGATTCCTTTCCTTCTGAGACGTTAATAAACAAGAAAAAAAACTGCAGGTTAACACACCTCCAGCCGTCCTTACCTATCTCCGCCACGTCCAGGCAGTGCTCCTGGGAGGTGTAGTTCCTGTCGGCGGTGACGGCGGTCACGTTCATACAGTAGATCCTCCAAATGGACGTGTGGCTGCTGTCGAAGTGGCAGCTGTTGGGACCGGCAGTCACGTAGTCGGGACATTCGTGTGTGGGCCCCTTGCTGTGGACACGACAGACAAGACGACGCTTTAATGAAGCAGCAGTGGAGAAAAGACTTGAGTCTATCGTCCTCCTCTATCACAGCCTCTTCTATCTGCACCTGTTTTATATATGCACCTTTTAAAAAGTGGTTTTATTTCCATTTTTTATTTGTATTCAGTGGATTGTGACTGTGTGTGACACAGTTTTACTTTCCTGGAAAAAAAAACATCTTTATCATTTTCTGCAAAGCGGCTTTTGTGTGACCCTGACTACAATAATAACTGTAAGAGTCTCAGTTTTAAACTGTAAGTTGGTTTTAAGCCCTAACCGTGATGCTTTTTTAAGCCCCAGCTGTATGTTTGTGATTTGGATTTGTATTTCGTCTCCTCGGGGTTTGAACTCACTGACGTATGGGCGGGAAAAAGGCTCAAGGCTTTCTGAGTCAACTGGTTTGTGTTGATCTAATATGACCTTTGAGAAAATATCCTCGCTGCAGCACAATATGAACTGACAGGATGGGACTCGTGGCATCACTTTACCCTCACTACCTGTCTGGAGGAGGATTTGTGTGTGAAATCTGATTTTATCATTTTGCACAAAAAAGGTCATTTAGTGCAAAAAATATTAGATTCTTCCTCCAAGCTCCTCGACACTGAGCTGCTGCAGACTTTAATCATTACTCACTTTTTTAACTGCTCATTTATTCCCACTTGTTTTTGTCATCCACATTTGTGGCTGCAGACACAAACACACAAACCCCCGCAGGACAACAAGACAACAGGCAGCAACAAAGGCACAATCCAATTTGTCCTGATTACTGGGAGCAGTTTCTTCGCTGTGTGCCATATGGGCCGGCTGGCATCTGTCTGCGGCCACGTGAGGCTGGGGTCAGGATTTTCAGATCGACAAGTTAAAAGCCTCACGCTGAAGTGGAGCACGAGAAATCAAACTGGATTTAAACCGCAGGAATCATGTGACCCAGAAACTTTGGTTGACTTTTGATGTGGGGCTGTTGTGTTTGGTCTGAGCCTCTTCGCTGCGGCGGAGACGGTTCGGAGAGAGGATCAGGTGCTAACAGCTGCAGTTTTATGTCGTGTGCAGGTCCGTGCTGCACGGTGTGAACTCCACTGTGTTCCTGGCCTCGAAGTGCACATGCAGGATGTTTGTTAAAGATCCTTCAGCAACATAAAGAGTGACCATGTTGTTCTGTTTATTGTCCTTTTCTCTCCACACGTCTTACGTGCTTCCCTGACGTTGTCTTTGGCCTGTGTGTCTGTGTGTGTGTCTGTCTGTGTGTGTGTGTGTGTGTGTGTGTGTCTGTGTGTGTGTGTGTGTGTGTGTGTGTGTGTGGGTTGTTCTCTCTCTCTCATCTATTTCCTCTGACGTTGTGTTAGACGTCTGGGCTGTAAGTACATTCTGTGGTTTGATGTAAAGCATGACATCATCAGGTCACATGATCAGCATGTGAAAGTGCAATAAATGAAATATAATCAGACTAAGTGTAAAAACATCTACGTACTCTTTGGAGTAGCTGAGGACGTAGGTGACCTCCTCTCCCTCCGTCAGGTTGTCGAGCGGATGCCACCAGCAGGTGAAGTCCTCCATGTTGGGCGAGCGGCAGTAGTAGATGTGAGGCCTTGTTGTCACGGCAACTTCCACTGTGGAAAAAAAATCACAAAAGGCGAGTCAGTGCGAGCTCGCCCTCACCTCGATGAGGTGCCTGCAGCTGCAGCATGGCGACAGCTGACAGCGCTGAGCACTGACAGGTGTTTTCACGCACCTGCAGGTTCAGACACAGGTGGGAGGTGGGCTGTCTGTCACACGACAAAACATAAATACAATAACAGCTGTGTCCAGAATAGAAAAGGAGAAAACACAGAAACACACACAGTGTTTTACCCTGGACCTCAGAGTCAGAGTCAGACTCTCTGAAATCCTGCATGAACACAACTTGACCCCAATGGTCAGAGTCAATTATAATTGTACCTGTTTAAAGCTCCATATTTCCCACTTCCTGTGTTTTATTTTGAAGTGTTGATCCATGAGAAGATATATTTGTGGTTTTAAGAACCAAAAACCATCTCAGTGTAGTTTTACATCTCCTCTCTCAGGCTTCTCTCTGCAGCTCTAGTAACAACAGGTCGGTGAGCCAATCAGAAGAGAGGAGGCTCTGAGCCTCTCTCCTGATTGGATGACTATTTTGTGAGTGATCCAACACTCAGAGAAACCAAATCCTGCAAGGTTTGGATGGTGGGTCCAGGTGGGCGGGGCTTGGTGACTGCTTTGTTGTGACATCACAAAGTTCCAGAAGTCCTGACGGCTGGTTTTAAGGCTCAGTTTCTGAATACAGGCTGTGTGCATTTCTCTGTGGACTGAGGCTTTGATACTTTCACAGTATTAATATAGAAGCTAGAGCTGATCTATAATCACACTACACATGGACACAGACCGTCACACTGGAGGAGCTTTAAAGTGAGACGACAAAGACAAAAACATGTTTTTCTGCGCTGGGCAGTTTTGAGATTTTGTACTTTTTTTCTTTTTTTCTTCCATCACATTTTCTCTTAATGCAGCTCTGGGATCAGTGTCTGTCTCTGCATCATTATCACATCCTAACACAATCATTCCCTCTGTGTCACATAATGTGTCAGTTTCCAATATGAATGTGTGGAATGACAGACACACACACACACACACACACACACACACACACACACACACACAATCTATTCCCTCTCTGTTTGATGGGCTGTTGGTCCCATGACTGTGATTTAGAGCAGCAGTGGAAAACTGATCAGTGAAAACAGCAGGAAGCAAGAACAGAGCTGCGCACACACACGCACGCACGCACGCACGCACACACGCACACACACACACACACACACACACAGAAAGACACATAAACGCATCATCAGAGACGAGGTCGTGGTGGTTTCTGAACAGAGATATTTTAACAACATTATGTTATTTAAGCATTAAACCAGAACAACATGTGACCTGATGGTTGCAACTGTACGTTCGTGTCATTATCGACTGTCAGTTCATCCAGTCATGGTAAACAAGCCCTGTCAGTTTAAAGCATGAGTGGGTACATTTCCCTGCAGATGATGTAACAAGGGTTCAGTATCATTTGTCTGAATGAAGATGTGTTTTCACGAATGAACGAGCAGATAACAGGAAGTGAAATAAAAGCACCTGCTTATTTGAAATATATTTGTCCATTGTCCATTTGTTTCTGTTTGCAGCTGCATTTGTTGAGTCAGTTTTTGCCAAAATTAATGTTGAGAATCTGGAGCCGAACACTCTGTCTGTCTCTCCTCTTCTTTCTGGTCTCAGGACAAAACTCAGGATGAGAATTTGACCTCTGATCAGCCAACAGAGTTTGAGACTTCCTGTTTGGACTCCTCGTCCATGTCGACACCTGAGGCGTGTTGGACGTGAGTTGAGAATGTTCAGTTCCTCCTGTTACACATGTGCCACCGCAAAGACTCTGTGTCCTGCTTGTCATGTCGAAGAAAGAAAAGACATCATGTGGCCTTCACAGATGATGGCAGCGGGAGGCCGGCAGTAATCCATCAGAGAATGCACGGAGCTGCAGAGTGAGGGCAGCGGGGAAACAAAGGCCTGTTGTGTTTGCAGTAAGAAGCTCAGTGAGCCACGCTGCAGGGACTTTCTGATCAACAACCTCCACTTCTCAGAACTAAAGCAAGAAAGGACGCCCGCTGGCCACAAACACAGCCGCACTCATTTATACCTGCGGCACATCAGATTGTCCTGCAGGTGCTGTACAGCGCCTGTAACGCCCAGTTTGTTTCCCATCAGGAATTAAATAAGAGTTTAATTCTAGTTTAATTGCATGAGCGGATATAAAGCTGTTGTGTTCGATGGACCATGCTGCAGGTTTTACACTGAAAAATCCACCTGTAAAGGCTTCAAACAAGCTGTGGAGACTCACCAATCCCTCCACAGAAAAGCAGTGAAGATCATTCGTTACTGGTTCTCCAGCCACCAAAGATGGGAGAGGAAAGATCCACACTCTGACACAATCCTCTCATTTCAAGCAACACCGACCTCTCAGATCACTCTCTCCTCCTGGAGGAAATCCAGCCGCCACACGTCTGATATTTATTGTAACCTGGACAGGTGTTTCACAGTAGAGCTCCGGGGGCGAGCAACGTGATGATGAAGAGAGGCAGAAGAAATCCCTGCAATAAAAACATGCTCACGGACCAAATAACCAGAGACACACCTGAGAGCTCCACCACAACACCTGAGGTCAGGTAAGAAGAAGAAGAGCTGATTATAAATGTCCTTCAACTGCCAACCGGACGGTACAGGGCACAGAGGGGAAGTACTCACTCTTTGTGTACTTGGTGTAGTATTTTACACACGTCACTTACAGTCGAAATCGTTAGGGAGTTAAAACAAAAGTCACATGATGAAGTTATGATGAACTAATGAGAAGAGGCCAATCAGCTGCAGCGGAGACGAAGCTGCTGATTGGATGCACCGCTCGGATCAAACACACACCTGCCATGTTGCCCGACCACCAGGTGCATGCTGGGTCTGGCTAACGCTAAATGCTAAGATACTGAGGAGCGCAGTGAGACAGGTGTGTGCAACAATGCACAGCATCAACAACTACTGCGTTGCCTAGCAACATGGCGTTTTGTCCGTGGAGTTTATGTTGTTCAGTCTATAAGACGCAGCAGCTGAATAGAGTCGATGTAGAACAGCTCCACACACACAACGAGCTCAGCTCAATCAACAGCAGGTCATGATGTCAACATCACAGAACTGGCTGAAGATGCTTCATATTTTTTATCATATATTTTACTGTTATCAACATATTTTTTTTCCCGCTCGTCTTCTCCATTTTAAAAGTGTAGCGCAGGAACGTTCATGCAGAGAACATCTGAAGTGGCGCTGGCAGCTGTTTGAGTGCGAGCTGCGCCTCAGGTGTGATTTTGAAGTAAACTGCAGCAATCAGGCACGGAGGGTTTTAAAAGACGGCGTCCGCCTCCTGGAGCTGTGTTTAACGCTGCTGCAGGCAGACTGTTTCTGAGCGGCTGTTGTTCTTAGATTCTTATTCATAACGACGTGAAAGGACTGAAGAGGAAGGTCACGCTGAGGGAGCGAGCTGTGACACGTGTTCTCAGTCTGTTTACACCCTCAGATCATCAAGCTCGTATAAAATCATTAATACCTCGTGATTTAATGCCATTGTCCAGAATACCACATCTTTTATTCTGAAAAGAAGCATCCTCTGTGTCACCGTGCTGATGTTATCTGGAAAACTCCACATCTGGAAAAGGTTGTGAGTGAGCTTTCATTTCCTGTGAGCTTCAAAATAAAACTGTGTTTATTCTTAAGTGGTCAGAGCAGCTTTAGTTTAAAGGACATTTATCATGTTTGTAGATCTACAGGAACAAAAAGAATCAGCTGCTGTTCGTCCTTCATCCACATCAGCTCAGGGACGTCTCAGGCGTGTGATTGGCTGACTCCTGCTGTGGCGTTCAGACGGCCGCAGCTTTGTTTGTGGCGGCGTGGAGGAAACAAGCCGCTTCGGGCGCTTCACGTCAGAACGGAGACGTGACAGAGAGACGTCAGGACATGAAATAATGAGACTAACTGGATGTCCATTACACACACAGGCCGAGGGTCAGTGACATTTTGTGAGAAGCACGAATAACCTTTCAGTTGGAACAAAAACAAACCTCAGTCAGGTGTGACGACACATGAAGATGTGACAGACGGATTAAAGTGGGTTTGACTTCTGGGTCGAACTCAGCTGCAGAAGAAACAGCTGATGCTCCGAGGGTCACATCAGGTCGTCCAGGCGCCGTGTCCGTATTCTCCACTCGTGTTTACAGTCTATAATGTTGTCATCCTGATTTTTCCACACTGTAAATCTGTTTTATACGCGACTCTACACACGTGACATCTACTTCCTGTCTGTCTGTGCTGGTGGAGGGATCCCTGCTGCTTTTATCCTGTTAAAAGCTTTTTGTTTGTGGAGTTTCTCCTTGTCCAACTCGATGGTCTGAGGACAGAGGTTGTAAAACCTAGAGGCAAATGTTCAGTGTTTTATTTTGATTTTTTCTACACATATGTACACGTCCAAACGAGCCACAAACGTCTGATTAAAAAGCCCAAACCGGGGCTGAAACAGCAGGTCTGTGCAGGTCTGAGCTGAACAGAATTTCAGAAGTGAAACCACAGTTATAAAAGCAGCAGAGCTGTGAGTCATCCTCCCCGCTGAGGCTTCATCGAGCTGCTGACACGTCCAGCTGAGCGGAGAGAAAGTGTCCGACACAGCTGGCCGCCGTCTGAGCGCGAGCCCCGTCAGACAGCTGCTGCTCTTTTCTTTTAAAATAGCCACAGACCCACGTGGAAAAGTTTCCACTGACCCCGGCGTGAACGTCACCGCGCCACGGTCACCGGACGGTCACCGGATCAATGGCTGATTGTTGTCAGAGCGGAGATTAGAGTTATTATCTATACATCTGATCAGCAGCAGCAGCTCGCACCATTCAGTCCCAATCAATCCCATCAGGCTATTGATCACGAGTACTGACGAGTCAGACCTGTGACAAAGACTCATCACTGTGATACACTGACTTCCTGTTTTCACCACTGTCTGTCTGTCTGTCTGTCTGTCTGTCTGTCTGTTTGTCTGTTTGTCTGTCTGTCTGTCTGTCTGTCTGTCTGTCTGTCTGTCTGTCTGTCTGTCTGTCTGTCTGTCTGTCTGTTTGTTTGTCTGTCTGTCTGTCTGTCTGTCTGTCTGTCTGTTTGTTTGTCTGTCTGTCTGTCTGTCTTTCTATTTTCATCCAGTTTTCTTACTGTTTTTATTTTCCGGAGCTTTTTAGTAAAACATAAATATTAATTTGTTTTTATTATTATTATCATGGTGGAAGCATCTGAGGCGTTACCTTATTACCTAATCCACACGCCTTTCTATAAATCCTCCAGCTGTGGACGAGGAGCTTTGCAGACACAGGAGGAGGCTGGAAGAGAGTCACTGAAACACCTGATCCAGGGTCAGTGTGTGTTTGGAGCTAACACTGAGATCAGCAGCACCAACACACTCATCACATCAAGTGTATCTTAAGCTGCTAATGAGGAAGGATGGAAAAATAATAAAAACAATCCCTGCAGGAGATACACAGTGTGTTGTCTTTTTTGTTTGTTTGTTTACTTCATTATTTTCTGGCGTTAAAAACAGCGGCCCGGTGCACGGGATCAGACTGAGACTCACTGTGGTCGCTGTGTCCTTCTTTATACGTGACGTCCTGAGTGACGGTCCTGCTGCAGCCCGCCACAGGAAGCAGACAGAGCAGAAGCCACAGCATCCTGCCGCCTCCTGTCGACCTGTCCACACACACACACACACACACACACACACACACACACACACACACACACACACACACACACACACAAACAAAACAACATAAACAAATGAGCACAAGGGCGAGGAAACCCCCAACAACACCTCATGATTTACTTCCACCAGCAGAGACATTTCCTCCTCTCTCTCCCTCATTCACAGTTTTAATTGATTTTAAAAGATGTGAGGATACTTTGGTTATTGATTGATTTTTGATGACAGATTTCAGCAGGTGAACGGCTTTGATGTGGGCGGAGTCTTAGTGAACATGAACACGGGAGAATAATCGTAATATTAACGAGCGCTCCTCCTCATTCAGCTGGTTGCTTGTGCAGATATTCAGTGTGTAAATGTAGATCCTGTGTAGTATGAGTATGTGACGGCTTCATGTGTCCCTCCACATTAATTAGGCTTCTGCTCGTCAGACCCACACATCTCTGGGCTTTAAAGGTCTGCTGAAAGCTCATTACTCTAATCAGCTTAGTCCAGTGAACTGCTCCGTCAGAGACACTGAGCATGTGCAGAACGTCAGGCCATGAGTTATGGACACAGATATGAACTAAACTGAGGCTGAAAATGATTTTCTCCTTTGCATGAATGTGACAGAACAGAGGTCGTCCCTCAGTCGGAGGATCACGATCACCAATCACTTCAATCTGCAGGACGTCAGAGGCTTCACCTGCATTTCACCCGGTGAATCAAGGATCCACATTTAGTTCCCTAACCTGCCGTGAAGGTCGGACTCTGCTGGTCCAGCAGCTATCAGGGTCAGCCTACCTGCCAAAAACTACCTGCCAACTCCTCCAGGAACCGAGAGGCTGGAGCCTAAAAGTAGATCCTGAACCTGGAGGTGGAGCCAGGCGTCACTATCAGGGTCAGGAAACTCTCTGCCACTTTTCCAGGAACCACTTTGAGAGCTCAGGAGCTTCAGCTGCAGTCCTGGAGGAGCGAGGGTCTGAATCTACTTCCTGTTGCTCTGACGCTGGATTCTTCTGAGCCGACGGCCACTGATTGGTCCCTGGCAACAGGTGTTCTAGCTTTACCTCTGCACGTCACCACAGTCACGACTCATGCAGCAGTGAACAACATCACAAAGACTCTGTTGCTTAGTTTTTGTTTGTGTGTGTGGGATCAATAACGTCGTTCAGGCTTAAACAAGGTGATGCATCAGTGATCAAATCAAATAACGTATCTGATCAATAATCAACCAGCTGATGAGTCTGTCTGCAGTCCCTGGAGGACGTCCTGAGCTTGTTGTCTGCTATGATGGACACAGCTCGTGATTTGTTCCATGGTGCAACAGAGGTCAGGACAGCTGACTCTTATTGTGGCGGGGCAGCTGCTGTCCGTCGCAGCGCGTGTCGAGTGTCTCATTAGGACGGCGGTCAGCTCAGGGACTCGCTCCCGCTCTGACCAAAGTCCTGATTAA